CCCCCTGAATTTTAGTAGGCACATGTCACACAGAGTAAAGACTACATCTCCTAGCATCCCTATTGCCATGTGGTTATATTCTAGTCAAGGAGACTTAGCAGCTTCGGGGTTGAGGCCTTAAAGGGAAAGAATGTAGCTGGACACAGGGACACACTACTACAGTCTCAGTACTCTGGAGGATGAGGCAGGAGGATCCCAAGTTCAAAACTTACCTGGGTGACCAAGTAAGATGAGTTACTGTCTCAAAACAACAACACAACCACCCAAACCCCACCAAACCAAAACCAACAATCTCCCCGAAACAAAACACACACACAAAATCCAAATGGGGGTCGGTAGCTATTTCCCCAAGTTTTTCCTGGGAGACCCAAGCTGGGTTGTGGATGCTGGGCATTGTTCACCACTGTGCAGGGAAGGCACAATGCCAGGAAACAGCGCCCCTTCCGCCAGCCTTGCCCTTGGGTGAAGCCTTGCTGTTATGTGCAGGAAGATATGTGCTTCTGCTGTGTCCTCCACAGTTAACACTCAATCACCCGGGCACACTGCTCACCCCAAGTCACCAGAGCAGCTGGTGCAGGCTACCTACCCTCACTCTGCCACACTCAGCTTGCCCTTATCTACCAGCTTGGAAAGCAGGGTACCTGGTGCTCTGTCTTAAAACTCCCATCCCTGAGAGGAGCCCAGGGTCCTCAGCTCCCCCTGGCACTTGTGGGAAGCACCATCCTTACAGATGCACACGGTAGCCATGTGAAGAGCCAGGGAACACTTGTGTATGCTGGGACGCTGCAGCCAGAGTTTGTCAACTGGAGATGGACATCGGCAACTCCACACAGGCGCTTCTCTTCTCATCCATCTCTAGCAATGTAGCTTAACACCTACTTACGTAGCGTTTACATCGCCTGGGTATCGTGAGAAGTCTAGAGGGCACAAGACACATAGCACAAGTCCCAGGGACATAGCTCAGGGCAGTACAATTACTTAGAAAGTGCACGGCCCTGGAGCCAATCCCAAAACCACACACGCAGAGCATACTGGATGTGTGCAGGCCACATGCAAACACCACATCATTTTGTACAAGGGACCTAAAGCACCCAAAGAGTTGGCTCTAGAACAGTCTTTTGGTTCTAGAGTCTAAAGCACCTTGTACAAAACCACGGCTTCAAGGGCTGATGTTTTAATAGACAATCTTGATTTCAAGCTTTATGATTGCAGGGCCTACACGGACATTTGCCAGGGCAAGAATTTCAATGGAGATGAGTGTTAAGCAGGCCCAGAAGCCAAGGAGTAATGGCCGGGGTGTGTGTGTGTGTGTGTGTGTGTGTGAGGGGGGTCTACCTGTGGGGTCAATGTGCCTTTTGTTGGTTGCTGTTTTCATGCCCCCCTCCCCCACCCCCCCACCCCCGCTTCTGCAAAGGCATCTCAAGGGTACTGTTCCCCGCACACACAGCCCACCAGTGTCTGTCCAGTGTGGGCTGGACTGCTGCTGCCACCTCCTGGCGGAATGTCAGGGGCACAGCAGAGCCATTTCATTGGCTGAGATTTAGGGGTTTTCTGGATCCCAGGGCTCTCATTTCCTCTAGGATAAAAGGGAAGGCTGTCCTGAGCACACTGCTGTCACAGGTGGGGCTGGAAACACTGTCCCTACCTGGCTCTTCATGATGGCCGACCATGTGTGCTCTCCAGTCCTGTGTGTGTGTGTGTGTGTGTGTGTGTGTGTGTGTGTGTTGAAGAGGAGCAGCCTGGCAGGGGGGCATGACTAGTCCTTGCTTCGGCCCTCCCGGAGGAAGAAAATCTGGGTGTTTCATGAAGACAAACTGAGCGCCAATGCCCACAGGCAGCCTCGGCATACTAAAGAATTGCCTTGTCTTCCCAGCCACAACCCCACTGAGCCTCTTGACTCTTGCCTTGGTTTACAATTTTGAGTTCCTCTAGTCAATAGCCTGTGTCCATAGCCTGGAGCTTAACACGGGGAAAATATGAGACGTTCTTTGGCCAGTATAGTTGCCAGCACTTCCACAATTTATTCTTTTTTTTTTTTTTTTTTTTAAGATTTATTAATTGATTAATGTATACAGTGTTCTGCCTGCCTGTAAGTCTGCAGGCCAGAAGAGGGCGCCAGATCTCATTACAGACAGTTGTGAACCATCATGTGGTTGCTGGGAATTGAACTCAGGACCTCTGGAAGGGCAGTCAGTGCTCTTAACCTCTGAGCCATCTCTCCAGCCCCCACAATTTACTCTTATGTAACCCTTCTCTCTAGGCTGTGACCATGGACGCTGTGTGCCACTGGACTCTTCAAACTCAAAGAATCACCCATTCCCCTGGACTGTATGAAGTCCTTGCCTAGGAAGTAGCCTCAACCAAGGATGCTCACTTCTGGAGGCAGGTCTCCGCCCAGCGAAAGCCCACACCCAGTCACTGCCCTAGTCCCTGTACCTGAAGCAACTCTGAAGAGGCATGGGGTATGCTGAACTAGCTGTGGGCTTGGTGGAAGCTTGTGTGGCCACTGCATGGTGGGTCGACTTTCTCCTCTGCCCAGCACGTCCTCCAGCCCTCACAGGGTCAAATTAGTGTCCTGGAGAAACACCCAAAGGATGAGGGCAGCTGCTCACTCACCTGAAGCAGCGTCAGTGCTACCTGGGATGCTGACTTGATCTGATACAAGCAGGTTTCGAGATGAGACCAGAGATCTGGTGTATTCTCATACGGGCCAGTTAATAATCATACTATTAGGCGGGAGGAGGGAGAACAAGGGAATCCGTGGCTGATCTATAAAATTAAATTATAAAATAAAAAATCATACTATTAAATAAAATAAAAAATAAGTATCGATCAACCCAATATTCCCAGAAACGAAAGGAAACATGGACCTGACTTTTCCCCTTGGCACGGCTACCTCACTTACGTGAAGTGCTGGCTCAAGAGTCAGGAAGCCAATCAGGTGACCCTTAAAAGCTCACCTTGCCTACTTCAGGGACGATGTCCCCACATGGGTACAGCCAGCAAAGCACCTTGGATGATTTGAGATGAAAAATCCTAAGTAAACTGCACTAAAAGGTGGAGGTCTCATGGACCCAAGTTTCATATCAACAGCCTCAGGAATTAGCTCCCAGGGGAGCATGACTCTCCAGGGGACCCCTCCTTCCTTTGAAGAGGTTTTGCTTAACTGGCATGTTTCCTGTTACAGATCTATACTGTCCTTAAGATGGAACACTGCCAGAGAGAGGGAGCAAACTGCTGGGGATTCTGGTGCAGGAAGTAAATAATCTGCCACCCACCGGTTCTTACTGGTTAAAATGATGCAGCAAGCGCCTCGTCCAGAGTATCTACGCTCTCTCCATACACGTTTGCATCCTGAAGGATGTGTGAAGACACCGGTTGGTGAGTGTGCAGCCCTGGTACACTGAGATGCTCTTCCTTCCTCTGCATTGTACATTAGTGCAACTCAACACATGTACACTGTACACGTAAACATGTGCATCTGGCATCTTCTACCATTAACATGTAATATTTATCTCAGAGGGCGGAGACACCTTTGTGCAAGAGGTAACACAGTATACTTTTATCTGGTGTAAGCCCAAACCCCACATTTACAGGCTTAAAATGCTACTTCAGAACTAAGTGTGGTTTTAAAAGTATGCAGAACTAATATACTGTATTCTACGTTGGTTTAATTTGACAAAAATGGACAGAAGGCAAAATGAAAAAGGTTTATTTCCTGTGTTTTTATCCACGGCCAATACTGTATTTTTTCTGATGAATATATGTCAAAAGACCTCTCAGCTTTATTTTCCATTTTATACAACTACAGTATTTACAAGCAGTTTACAGTAACACTCACACACACTCACAGACACGCGCAAGGACACATAGCCTTATCTCGGGTGTATACTGAATGCTGGTAAAGGCAATGACCTTTCAGAGCCCATGATCAGAAAAGGGAAAGCTGTCCTCCTTTTACAGATCCACTCACCCCCAACCATTTCTAACATATCCCTTCTTCCTTTTCCTCACGCAGAACTCGCTGCCAGACTTGAACAGGGTTAATGTAATCAATGTTGACAATGTCCTGAAAGTAGAGCTTTAAAAAAGCACGAGCCGATACAACTCTCCCATTTCTATTGTTTTGGTTTCCGACTCAAGCTTCACATACAAAGAATTTTGTTCAAAAACAAGCACACCGACCCCAAGAGTCATCTGGAGCAGCCATCTTGTCTCTGTGGTGCAGATGTGCAGGTAATGCAGACTCACCCTCACCACCTGTCAGAGGACCTCTGTTACTCCTACTGGTTCCAATGAATCAGAAGAAGAGGGAGAGCCTATATAATAGGCCTAAGTATGACGTCCAAGCTGTGTGTAACCCTGCATGACCATCAGCTTGAGTCATGGGCAATTCTACGCTGAGTCCACAAAGTGGCACATCAGGATGTTCAGCTTACAGATGAGCGTCTGACCCAATTCAGAAAGGACAGACAGCTGTTTCTAGGCAAGAAAAAGAAACTCTTACCACACAGTTCTTGACAGGTAACTCTGGGGAGGTGACTCATTACAGAAAATAGACCTCTCTATTCAAGCCAGGTTAGAGCCTTCCAGACCTATTTGATAACCAATTCCTTTCTGATTACAGCTAGTGAATAGGTTAACAAGTTTCAAATGAGACAGCTTGGGTGTTCATCGACAAGATGATTTTAAAAGAGAATGAGGAAAAGGCCTGGACTTAAATACTTATTTTATAAAATGCCTGTGTATCCAACATATTCAAATCTGTACCACCTGAAACACACTGCAGAATCTAATTTACCTTTCTCCTGATCAGTAAAACTCAATATCCATCTAAGACTGAAAGAGAAAGTTCAAAGGCCAACAGCAGGCTCCATGCACCATTTTAAGTCTTTACTGAATTTCCATTCATCTTGGAGTTAAAGAAAATGGCTCTAGAAGAAGGGACCAAGCTTATCTGAACAGTGTATTGTCTCACAAGAAAAGTGAAGTGAGTCTGTGTCCAAAGTAACTTTATATAATTACTACAAGAGATGAGAAAGACTACTGAGGACTTAAAAAAATAAAAACCCAGAAATAAATTTGCTTGTATTAATGAGAAAGTACTTAAATATAAAAGTAATTAACACACTGGACAGCAGTTTATATTTTGATAGCTAGTAAACATAAATTCAAAGAATTCTCCCATAACACTATTTTTTTTTCAAGTCACATATTTAGAACAAAAGATGATAGAAATTTAGCTAAAAAGAGAGATAATTTTAGACACTGGGCAAATATTAAAGACCCACTTTTTGATGAATTCCTCAAGACTGCAACCCATCAGGTGAGTTCTAGGCTGAGGCAGAAAGATGCTGGTAGGAAACTAAGCAGAATTTACAAAGGGCATGTGACCCTTGCTCAAGTGTGAGGCTTATTTCATAGGAGACACAAAAACTAATTCAGAACGAGTTCATAATGACCTATGGTTTCCTATATAAGAATTTGCATGGGCACTGTTTAACATTCAGTACCCAGAGTCATTTTCTATGTCTTTCAAGAGAGAAATATTGTCTGTTCTCTTCTGGTTCAAGCACTGGAAGTATTATCAATATACTTCAAAAAAATTTTTTTTTCAAAACACCTCCAATCTAATGGAATTTTATCCCCTGCCAGCGGAAACAGAAGTCAGAACACGGAATGCTTGCCCACTCGCCTCAGAAGTAATTACTGTCTTCTTGTAAAGCTTCCACATCGCCTCATCTCTACCCTCCCAAGTCCCATGTGCCACACCACTGCATGCTAATCTAGCCTCAAGGACAAAGTAAAGCTCCTTAGCAAAAGACACACTTGAAAAGTATTTTTGGCTCTGGAAAATGGTGTAGAAGGGGAGTTCCCACCACGATATGGGCTGAAAGAGTCATCAAAAGCCTCGTTTAGGGGTACAAATAGTTGGTTGTTTTGTTTTTAATTTTTGTCATTAAAGATGAAATCAAGGCCATTCCAGGATTGTCCACTCAAAGTGGGGCAAGATAAGAAAGAAAATCAGAGACTTCAATGGTGCAGCTCTATCTAAAGGAAATAAAAAGTTGTTTCAACTACTTGCAAAATTACGTTAAAAGCACTGAAGTATGCTGGAGTTTTGTACTTTAGTGAGAAATGCTAAGCAGAAAATCTAAAATACTAACTTGCTATCTAGGTGGGTACTGGGAGACAAAGAATCTATAATAAATTTAATCTTCAGACACAAATCTTCAATTATCGCTATCCTCCCTGCTAAAATTAGAAAAGTATTTTTTTAAGGTTATCAGTTTTAGATTAAAAAACTAAAAACAAGACTTCTCTTAGGGTTCCTAATTTATAAATTTAATAAAGTTATATAGTAACAACAATACCTTGTTTCAAGAAAAATGTCCAACTTTCCCAAATTAAGACTTGATGATATACATGTTCCATACAGAACCCCGTCTTACATGTGGGATCTTACTTCCAGAGCATTTAATACCTAACAATCATGAGAGGGACTCGGCATAAACAGAATTCTGACCTTTGACCAAATCATCTAAAGTTCATCTTCTGATGCTTTCTCTGTGGCAAGACAGATCATCTTCCTCCTTAGACGGCAAACCCTCCACTTACTTCTCCGCCTAGGAACAGTCATGAAAAGATCAGACTCGGTTCTGAGCAGGGAAGGGAACCAGCAGCAGGGAGCACAAAGTCCTTTGAGAGGTTTGAAACACGGACACACAGGCTGGGTGCTTAGCGTCAGAAAGACCACCACGGAACACACTGTACAGCAAGGATCTGCCCAAATGAGGCAACAGAACAGAGGACCAGAAGCGGGAAGAGACACCGTAAAGTGGTCAATTTAGAGATAGAAAGGGCTCCTTTTGTAAAGGATCAATAAGTCATCTGACAAATAGTTTTCAACAATAAAGTCTGCAAAGTTTAAAGTCTATGGAAACGTCAATACAAGGCACATTGGGTTCGGAACGACCACCGATTTCGAGAGTAACACGGGGAAACGAACAGGGTTTGAAGCACAGGTGTGGGAAGACTCCTCCCGGCTGCCGCCGCCAGCTCTCATCCTGTCTCCTGTCCCGTCAGGCCACACGTGACACCTGGATCCTAGTCAGTGGGAACAACAGCTCTCTCCTCTCCCCTCAGAAGGTATTACATCCGTGTGGCCTCACACAGACGCCACCGAGTCAACTGGCCAGTGCCACACGTTGGAATGGTCACAGCTCAGACAGATGACCAGCTTCTTTCTGCGGTCTGTCCATGGGGAGACAGATGGCTGCTCCCAGGTGCTCTGAGGAGACGGGCGATTTTCTTTGGAGTTTAAAACAAGGGGAATTTCAAGCATTTTAAAAATGCTCCAAGTTGCAAATGAAACCTAAACTGTAGTTTGCACGCAGCCTCACTGTAAATCCAAGGTACAGAATTCCCTGAATACATGCTCCTTAAAAACCAATATAATTTATGAGACAACATATGAATTAAGTCAATTGCACAGTTATAAATATCTTAAATGACAGGTATACACCATAAATCACAGGAAATCAATTCAAGTAATAGAAAAGGAACACGGAGGAAGCAAAGTGCGGAACTGCTAAAGACGACAGAGCAAGAATTGCGCCACATAGACAATTTTGTTTGAAAAACTTTTACTTGAGAAACCGAACTTCATGAGTAACTTCAAGAGCTAGGAACTCTTCAAACAAAAGGCAACCGATCCTTCAAGTTCCTGGGCCTTCGTCATCTTGAAAAGCAAAAGCATGTTCCAGAAGTAACTCCAGAGCCTGGCCCCAGCTGGAGAGGCGTGGCACACTTGAGAAGAGAGAGGGCGGCTGGCGGTGGCGCTCGCCAGGCCGATCCTCTGTCACCAGCTCTGGGAAAAGTCAGGGATGAAGCTATGTGTGTGTCTCCAGAGTCCAGCACACTAACAGAAAAGGACCAGCAGGTCCTGGGGGCTATGGGTCGGGGGAGGGGGGCTAATCCTGAAGGCAATTTAAATAATGGTATTTTATTTTTATATATAAATAAATGTTCTGAGAAATCTCAGATTTAGTGCATTGCTGTAAAAAATTAGTGCAGTTTTTTTCATTAAAGTTTTTAGCTTTCAAGGAATAAGATAAACCTACGTCTATTCATCATCTTTCTCACTGTACATTATACTTTTATACTGTTATGTGTCAAACTGAATGTTTCCACATGGGTCTGTTTGTAAAAATCATGGTCAATGGATTTCATTTTCTACGACAAAAACCATGGCAACTGTTTTTGGCAAAGAAATTAGAAAAATATGAGCTCAGAGTTAGAGACAAGAGCCTGTGGGTTAAAGCATAAATGCATAGAGAGCCTTTCAGAGACAGGCTCCGACAGATTTGCCTTTCATGCAGCTAACTTAAAAAAATAGTTCGGCTTTATTTGGGGGTGGAGACAGTGACAGGAGTCGGGTGGAGGCGCTTAACCAGGCCACTGTTCAAGTCTTGGCTGGGAAGGGCAGCCAGTCCCGCAGGGGGTCTTCTGCAGCCTTACTCTCTCTCGAGAAAGGAACACAGGTGCACGATGCAGGCTCACACTTCTGCCCCCAGTTCCAGGACCCCAGTTTCAATGACAGTCACGTATTTATCATCAATCTGGACCAGGAGCACTGTCTTGTCGATGTGGGACCTTGTACCTGGGTCTCTGCTGCAAGGCACCCATCGGTGAATCACCTATGAATCAGATTAAAGGTGCAGTTAGAGCTTGCATGTGCCCTTGACCTCACTGGTGCCCGGTGCAGTTCTGCTAAGGACTCAAGCTGGGAGACAGAGCAGCCCACACCACCAAGGGCACACAGCGGCTTCCCTGGAGAACTCACATGGCCTTCCATGCCCTCCTGGGGACTCCAGTCTTTCCAGCTGTTTCTCCCAGCTTTTAACCGAATTCCTTCATCAGGCCACTGCAGCTCTTTCCTTTTTGACAGGTTAATCCCTTCCAGAATCTGACTGAGATCCACAATCTAAACAGACACATATTCCAGTTCACATTTTCCCTTGATGGTGAAAAAGGTAAGACGAAACAAAATTCTCTCTAGGACTCTTTGCATTTTAAATTCTCTACTGCTTACTGTGGAATTAAAAAACTCAATAGCCCCGAATCCATCCCTTTTAGACTACCTTCCTGCAATGACTGCATCAGTGCTGAGTGGGGACAGGTATTACAGACACAAAAACTGGTGCTTTCACTTTTAAGTTGCCAGAAAAAATTTCCCCAACATTCCAAAGTGCTCAAATTCCCCATCTAAATAAATGAAATTTTCACCAAGTCCCCCACTCAACAAGTAAGACACAGAGCCGAAAGTGAATCAGCGGGACTCTCTGGCCTGCTCACCTGGACTCTGTAAATCACCTCCCCCTTCCTGGCATGGGATCCGTTGGCAGGACTGAAGGCGCTGCCTGGCGGGGCCTCAGTGGCGCTGCTCTGGCTGCCCTCTGCCCCAAGAAAGCCCACGAGGGTGTGGTGCTTGCAGGCTGGGATGCTTTGGCTGGAGCTGCTGGAGGAGGGCAGGCCGTGCTGCAGACAGGCCACGCCGCCCTGGCTGGTGGCCTCCATCTGGTTCACCATGGAGAGGCGGGACTGGATGGAGGACGGCAGGTTTCGGAGTGATATCTGGCTGGTGGAGGAGCGCCGGCAGGGCACGAAGCCCGTGGTGGACATCCGGAGGGACGAGTGCCGGCTGCCGTAGCAGTAGGAAGACTGGCTGGCCATGGAGGCTCGCGCTGGGGACTGTCTGACCAGGCTGGACTGCACCGAGTGGGCGCTGTGGCTAGTGCCTGGCGGGGAGCAAAGTCAGCTTCATCAACACAAGGCAAGTCACGGCTGGGCTGTGTGCGGGGCTTTCTCAAACTGTCCCCTAAACCATCACCCCGTAAGTTTATAGAATTTAACATTTATGTCTGAAACTTCAAAGGCTACAAAAAAAGAAATAATTCCTGAAATCTATTTTCTTGTATTCCTACAAAACTAATTTTTTATTTCTTAAAGCTTTTTAAAATTCAAATTCTAGGATATAAGAAAAAAATAATTTACAGCAAATTTCTTAATTTAAGGTTAGAATAAATTCTAAAATATTTTTTACAGAGGTATTTCAGAGATAAGAATTTAAAAAATGATATTTATTTTTGGAAAGGACAGAATCATGAATGTTTAAAGAAACACTGTGTAGGACTGGAGAGATGGCTCAGCAATTAAGAGAACCGGCTGCTCTTGCACAGACCTGGGTTCGATTCCCAGCCCCCACGTGGTGGCTCACAACCATCTGTAATTCGAGTTCCAGGGGATCTGACTCCTTCTTCTGACCTCCGCAGGTGTTGCACACATATATGCAGGTAAACACTCATACACACGACATAAAAATAGCAAAATTTCACAAAAGAAACACTGCATGATCTCACATGGAATCTAAGAGTCAAACTCAGGGGCCAAGAGCAGTTGGCAGCTGACGGGGCAGGATGGGGGCAGGGAGCTCCGAGCTCCAGCTGGACGGAAGTGTGTCTTCTGGGGGGCACCACAGCACAGTGCTACAGTGAGTGCTAACCTCTGTGTGCCTCAAAACTGCTGGGCAGACACAAGATATTATTACCAGGGAGAGAGAGAGAGAGAGAGAGAGAGAGAGAGAGAGAGAGAGAGAGAGAGAGAGAGAGAGAGAGAGAGAGACAGACAGACAGACAGACAGACAGACAGACAGACAGACGGGTGTGGGGGAGGGGCAAGTGCACAAGGAAATGGCTGTTCGGGAGCCTGACTGAATCAAGAGGAAGGTAACAGGTGACGCTCACGGGAGGGAGCCTCTGACCGCTGAGGATGCCCACTTGAGAGAAACTTGCTGCAAAGATTCTTAGCGTTGGGTATCACGACACTTACAAGGTCTCTCCCACTGAGCCTGTTTTTAAAGTGTGTAGCCTAGGAAAGTACTAAGTTACTACAAAGATTCACATGTTATTGCACTACAGGATGGAAGTTAGATGAAATACAACAATTAATTATTATCGGCTTTAAAAATGTAACATATATTTGGGTTTTTGAGATAGAATCTCTGTCCATAGCCCTGGCCATCCTGTAACTAACTATGTAGTCAGGCTGGCTTCAAACTCAGAGATGCCTGCCTGTCTCCTGAGTACTGGGATTAAAGGCACACACCTTAAACCAATAATGTTTTGAGTAAAGCATGTGAAGTACAAGATGTATACATGTGTATCAATGACTGATACAGACAAATGGTATAATGCACTACTGGATATCAAGTAAACACCGTATTTCCAGGTAACAACACACACACACACACACACACACACACACACACACACACACACACACACACACACAGGCAGATGGCTAAGAGCCAACAGGTAACACAACTTTGTCTTGAGTTACCTAGTGTTGGCGGGTACGATGTGGTGGGCGGGTGCAGTCCTGACCCTGCTGCCTGTCCCGGGTTCCCAGTGCTCCCCTGGGACACGTTGCCATGGGGGTCACTGACCGTGGCTGCATTGTTCCCAGGACAGGAAGTCCCACCTCCAGTGTCAGAATCTTCAATATTGCCACCACTGTTACAGCCAGCTCCACAACCCTTCCTTAACCTGGAGACAAATTCCAAGGTAGGACGCATTAGCCTTCCGTCACTTCAAAATCAATTCCCTCTTCTTTTTCTGCTCTTCTGAGGTACCAGCAGTACTGCCATGTCTACTTTCCAAAGCCTTTACAGCATTATCAGGATCAGGAACAAGTCCCCTTCCCAAGAGGTTTGAGAAGCACATGCCTCCCCCACCCACCGCCTCAAGTCCAGCTCTCCAGTTCTGAACCCATTGTCCATACAGCACAATGAAGAACTGTACAAACAGTTGTACTATCGGGACCCCAGCTGGAACCAGCAATCTTTGTTCTCTGAGACAGGCTCATTCTGTAGCCCAGGCTGCTCAAGGATTCTGTAGAAATTCTTCAATTATCAGCAATCCTCCTGCTTCAGTCCCCTGAATGCTGGGATTACAGGTATGAGCTACCGCACTGGGACTCACTTTGTCTACACTGCTGCTGTAACTTCTGCTACTTCATCTCCCCTGTTTGGTTTCTGTCATTTTAAACACAGGAAGACTAACAGCTACCCTGACTGGGCATGCCTACCTCAGCTGGGTACTGGACACCCTGCACCAAGAACACCCTTGATCCTAGGCAAATCATAACTTATCTCTATGCTATTTCTCCCTGGGAGGAAGCTCAATGTCTTGTAACCAGCGCAGGTAACACAGGTTTTCTGAAAATGAAATCCCTGTGAATCCTCTCCCGGCTTAGGTTCTGTTGGAGGTTAATACAACCTGAGTCTTTAAGCACTGGCCAGTCCTTAGGAAATTGAACGTCACCATTCAGAGAGTGTGGCTCTAGCTCATATTCTGTTTCCTCTAGCTCATATTCTGTTTCCTTAACAACCCGAGAACAATGACCTCTCAACTGTCCTTACTGTCCACCAAACTATGATGCGCCTGTACCCTCTGTGTGGCCTCACTAGACAGCAGGCAGAGGGACTGTGACGTGCACACTCCAACACACCGTGGGACTGCATCTGGGTAATGACTGTTGCCATGGCAACGGTCTTCGCGGCACAGCCAGATGTGTGGCGTGCTCCCTGCTGCTGCTGCTGCGAAGGAGTGCATGAGCAAAGGAAGCAACCCACATGCAAGGTTCCAAGATGCTGCAGCAGAGTAAGGAAATTAAATACCGGAGAGGGGAGCAGAGGGGCGTTAGAGTTCTGGGGATGTCGCCACTGGTCCATCAGCTCCACCATTAGCCTGACTAAGGTTTATCTCGGTTTCTGAAGATAAGGAGCTGATTTCTAGCTCCTGGGGTTCGGGCAGAGTCCGTGTGCATATGCCCTGGCATCTCCATCTTCTCTACCAGCTTCCTAGGTGACCGACTACACTGCTGAGGGAGAGAGGCCCCGGGAGCGGCACCACTGGAAGACAGAACCTCACTACCTGTGCCAGGTGGACACTATGAAGTTCCGGATATTCCCCAAGCTGATTGGTCCCCCAAGAATTTCTTTGAGCTGGTCATGGCTGTCGGAGTAAGACGTTGTCAGGGGTGACACAAAGATCGGGTAGCCAATAGGCTGATCACAAGACGAGTTTATCATGTTTCGCAGGGCCTGCTTTGCATTCTGGATGCTGCCTCTCTCGGGGTTCCGGTTCCGGAGGAAAACAAGCTCCTGCTGCTGCCCTGCCCAGAGACCTCGGACACATTCCTTGTTCACCTATGGACAGGAAAGGGCAGGGACAAGGGTCAAGAAAGAAAGTGCAGACATGGTGACACACAGTGCGTTGACCAACTGAAAAGCTGTGACTACAAGGTCACCTTTGAAAGGAGTTAGCCATGCTCCTTCATGGACAGCTGACTGCTGAGTAATCCGCACCTCAGTATGCTTCCTCTTGCTACACCTTCTAACAACACTTCTGTTTGCCAAGCTAGTGAACTGGATGACAGACAGTTCTGATGGAAATGACAGGCAACACATGTTCAGCTTGAGAGGATGTTGGTGATATTCTGGGGTTGGTTAAAAGATTAGATAACGATTGGTGGTTGACAAGATGGCTCAGCGGGCAAAGGTATTTTCTGCCAAGCCTAGCGACTTGAGTGTGATCCCTGTGGCCCATCTGGTGCGGTGGAAGGAGAGAACCAACTCCTGGAAGCTGTTCTCTAGCTTCCACAGGAACTCAGCACCACGGTGTGTGTGAATACACACACACCGACATGCACACACACTTTTAAAGAGAGAAAAGTGAATCATTATAAACTTCAAACCTCAAAAACCAAAGTTCCTAAACCGCTAAAACATTTGCACACACACATGCACACATACATGAACACTCACACACTTACTCAAATGCACACATGTGCAGAATGAGTGGGAGTCAGCGAGAATTTAGGGAACAAAGCATTTACAGTTAGCTTTGAACCACGGGAAGCACAAGCTTTGTCTCTCTCTCTTCACCGAGGAGAGCGCCTCATTAGCAGCAGAGCGCTGGCTTTTACAGAAGGAACACTGTTCTGATTTCACATGGAATAGATGAAAGGCCACCAACACTGAAGTAAACTAAACAAACCTCACAGGGCAGAGGGAAGTACTGATAAGTGAGTGTTCAGAAGCCGTGAATGCGCCACCTGCTCCGTTTCCAGTGTAAACAGTGCCAAGCACACTTCAGAGGCTGGATTAAGGTGCCTGACCTCAACTCTTCCTGGTCACAGTTCAGTGCCCAGGCTCACCTTGATGACCCTGAAGCTCAGGTGGCGTCGGTTGAGCATAATGATCTTGTACTCATTGGTACCATCGTCCATGACATGCCGCAGAGCCAGCAAGGAGGGAGAGTTGGCAAGGACTGCACTCCGCCATGCAGGGTCCCCTTCGTGGGCGATCACAAGGTTCTTTTCATGAGACACGATGGCTTCGTAGAGCACAGTGGGGTCGTCGTACTCATCCGGAGAAGTGAAGTGGTCCTACACACAGAAATACCGAGCGTGGTTTTGGTTTTGTTTTGGAAAAAAGGAAAATAATTTCCAGGATGGTAAGCAAATATTCTTACAAATGGGTTTCATTTCCTATTATACATATGAGTGCTTACGGACATGCTCATTCTGTTCTACTAGTTGGGTTAGGAGTGGACTTGTTACTGTTTTCTACACTTCTAAGCTCTTTAACCAACTCTTCCTCCAAAGCTTTACATAATTAAGCATCACTTCCAAGTTTAATTAACTGTCTTTTTACCTCTTTCAAGGTAGTTTTCACATACATATTTATACATGTTTAAAACTTACTACCGTGTGTGTACACGGCATGGATGCATGTGGTGGTCACAGAACAACTTTGTGGCCTTGGCTCTAAGGACTGGGCTCACGTCTCCAGGCTTGTGCAGCACACGCCTTTACCCACTGAGCCATCTCGCTAACCCTCCTCACACATACCGTCTTTATTTCACTGTCTCAAGGAAGAGCCTCACAAGATCTCTTTTTGGGTTCTTGATAAGCTAAATAAACTTTCCATAAGGCCACGCATCTGTAATAGCTGCACACGCCACTCATCCTGCCCCGGCCCCTCCTCCAGATGTGACTGTCCCTAGATTAGGTAGTATCCCAATCCCACTCTGAAGAGCTTCTTTGTCTTAGTCACCACTCAGCCCCCGGGATGGACGTTTGCTGCTATCGTCTGAAAGTCTGAGGCAGGAATCAGGGACCAAACAAAGGGAGCATCCCTTTTCAAACCTCCAAGTTAACAGAGGACGTAAGACACACATCAAAGCCATCATAGCTGGGATCTAAATGTCAGAAACAGCATGCCATTCAGGAAATGCAGCTCTCTTACTGTTGCTTTCTCATGACGCTGGAAGGCTGATACAGGTCTATGTTTATCCCAGCCCAACCCCGGGAACTACAGCTCACGCCCTGCAGGGAAGAGTAAGGGTGACAAGCCAGTCCCCAGGGTGCGGCCTGAGTCAGGCGGGATCTGTGGAGACGATGCTGTGCACCTGATGATGAAGCCCCATAGGGTCCTGTCCTCCTATGTTCCTAACCTCTCTGCACCGTCCTGGACAACAGACAAGGCACAGCATATACCGTGCTGCCTATGGCAAACGGTTGCCTCGAGGAGAGAGCCCTCCATCCATCTCCGCTTACTAGAACCAGCACCGTTACTCCAAGGAGAAAGGAACTTGACCCAGACAATAGACACATTCTTGATAGGACAGACACAAAGTTATCAGGCATGCTAACTGCAGATTTTAATCCTGTTCAAATACTTCTTTTCACTGGCTTAAACTATAGAAAATTGGGAGTTAGGGATTTAGCTCAGTGTAGAGTGCTTGCCTAGTAAAGGCAAGGCCCTGGGTTCGATCCTCAGCTCCAGGGAAAAAAAAAGAAAAAAAAAAAACTATAGAAAATTGAAGTTTTTATGCTGGCCTTATATATAAGCCTGTAATCCCAGCTACTTAGGATGCTAAGGCAGGAGATCAAAAATTTAAGAACTGCCTAGTCTCTACAATTAGTTCAGACCCAGCCGGGACAACCTAACAAGACTCTGTCTCTCAGAGAGGCTGAGGATACAGCTTAGTGGCCGAGCACTTGCCTGGAGTGAATGAGGCCCTAGTTTAATCCCTTAGTACAGTCCTCCCACCCCAATTAACCTGCTTGCTGCTTTTCTTGTAAATGGCTGAATTTTGTCTCAAAACTCAGATCTGTAAGTACAGCTGAGTGGTATGACCAGAGGAACAAGTGCCAGTATGTAATTCCACAATGTAGTCTTCAAATGATCCAGGGCTTTGGAAATACACTTTGGGGTCAAATTTTAACTGTATGTCCCTAGTAGGACTGGTAGTGACCACTGACTGCTCGCTACCTGGGAGCCCCCTGGGTGGCAGGCAGCAGCACGCTCAGCCCTCCCGAGGATCACGCAACACCGTGGCTGTCAGGTGTTCGCTGGGGTGAGGGCCGGGAACTGCAATCACATGAAATAAAACAAGCATTTCTTTTCAGTTGACCACTCTGCCTAGATTATGAGTGTTAACGGCTATTAATACTGAAATTCACTACTACTGTTACTATGAGAAACACAGCGTCAGGCTTCTGGGATTAATGCCTTGCTAGGAGTCAGGCTTCTCCCAGGTTCAGAAGAGAGCCTTTGCAAAAGTTCCCCGAATCAGCAATGTATTAAAAACACACAACCAACTCATCTCTTACCTGATGGAGTTTAATGGACATCCGGATTCCAGGCACTACAACTTTTCTCAACAGTTCCATGTCAGCAAAAATCCACTCATCTCGGACTGAAGAAATCCTGAAGTCCCCTTTAAACAGGGCGTGCAATCCATAGAGGAACGATTCCAGGTTACTGTAAGGTGGAGATATTTTGACAAAGGTCTTCGTGACACTGAATATCTTATCTGCTTTTCATCAGAATCATCTAGAGTGTTTTGAAAGTTTGAAACTCCAGGAACTGAAGTCCGAACTCCTAAGTGAGACTCACAGGAAATGGGTCCTGTTTGGGAGCCTTACTTATCAACTATGGTAATAGCTCATACAGACCGACAACAGGCAGAGAGCCTATGTACTGAAGGAAATTAAGGAATCTAATGTAAAACATGTGTTCAGAAGAAATTTAAAATAGAAACTGTTCCCTTAAAATATACACTACATTAAATGATCTAGACAAAATTATGAAGAAATATAGAAAAATAGACTAGGGAAACTTATTAGAAAAATAGATAAAATATGAGACCAATCCAATCTTATAAAATGATTATAAAAGACTTTAAATTCATTAAATTGTCACAATTAGTAGCTATTCCCACAAGTAGTTATTTTAAAAGCCAGTTAATTACAACATAAGATGTTCAGCAAGAACATTTACAGAAAAATGACATCGACAGAAACTCGGCAGTAAAACAGCCCACAGTGATACATTTCAAAATCCAACCAACCAAGCAAACACAGCACACTCACTAGGTCACAGAGAGCTTCTCATGCGCTCTCCTTTTTTTAAAAATAGTGTTTTCTCTTATTGTGTGTGTGCTTTGCCTCCGTGTGTGTCTGTGCACCACACACCTGCCTAGTGTTCACAGGGGTTATCAAGTCCCCTGAAACTGGAGTTACAGATAGCTGTGAACCACCATGTAGGCTGGGAATTGAACCCAGGTCTTCAGGAAGAGCAGCCAGTGCTCTTAACCACTGAGCCATCTCTCCAGCCCCGGCCCCTCCCCTCCCCTCCCCAATACCTTCTTGGAAACAGAGAGGCCTCTTTACCTGGACATATGGTGGGAGGCTGTTCCCAAAGCTCTCCGTCCCAGAACACAGAGTCCATAACAAAGAGTCACCAGGGAGGAATCTTTGTCCACATCCAGTGGCTTTAAAAATAAAGAACATAGAGATATGAGAAAGCTATGCAAGAACGCAACTACTCAGAAAATAAATATCCAGTGGGCAAGTCAGAGGCAGGTAAAGAAAGAGCTGAATTCTACAATGAGAAGAGTTCTATGGATGTAACACTGCCTTGGAGGGAGAGCGGAGAGCGAGGCAGAGGCCTGCCACCCTGGGGAGTGTCCTTGAGCTTGGAGCCAGTGCATCTCCAAGCTTAGAGGGCTTTCCTAGGAGGAGGTCCTTCTGGGAAGGGGACTATGGAGCAGAGTGCTTGCTCTTAAGGACATGGCAATGATTTTGATTTGGCTAAAGAAAAACTATGGCAGAAGGGAGATATGGCTGGAAAATATCACTAATCCCTTTATTCTAAAGGAACCGCATGCAGTGGGTATGATATACCCCAGGGCTGACTGGGTGACAGTCAGTTGTCTGAAGGGCCCGGGGACACTCAGATTGAAAGTGGGCCTCAAAAAAATATTTATTTTATGTTTATGGGCATTTTTGTCTGCACATATGTGTATGTGCACCATATCCATGCCTGAGGAGGCCAGAAGAGGGCACTGGATCCCCCAGAATTAGAGTTATGGATGGCTGTGGGCCCCCATGTGTGTGCCAGGACCCGAACTCAGGTCCCCTGTAACAGCAGCAAGTGCGCTTAAGTGCTGAGACATCTTTCCAGCCCCAGGCGAGCCTTTTGAATACATAATCTGCAGGCATGAAGCAGGACTTCTTCAAGCTACGTCCAACCTTCCAATAACCTCTGAGAGGACTTGAGGACGGAGGCCATTTCTCAGTGAAAAAATGGTGCACTTCAATACTGTCTAAGCCAGAAAAGGGATATTATAACAACATGCCCATATGCCTCAAATGCCCTGCAAATTTGAAAACATCATACAAAAATCCCTTTAGTATATTTCACGTATAAAAACAAAACAAAACAAATAGAACCACCTGCCTGTGACATGTTTGGATTCTCAAATGCTGTCACTGACTAGAAGGGTGTCTGATCAGCATATGTTGCCCATCTAGTGGTAGTTCAAGACTACCACTCAGAGGAGGCCCAAAGGCGCCCCATTCCTACTGAAGAGAAGATGCTAAGGTGCCTGAACGTAGCTAGGAAGGAAGGGCTAATGGATCGGTAAACCTGCAGACAGCGGCTGTCAAGGTGGTGCTAACTCCAGGATACCAAGTAAATGGGAGCTGGGTGCTCCGCTCCAGACTTTCCCTGAGAAGGCAGTCGGTCTTTGCCACAGTTCTTGGGGTCTGGCCAGGGGCATGACAATGCTCTAAGCCTAAAAGAAACAGTAGCTGGAAAGTCTGTACTTCATCTTACTTTAGAGTAGGACAAGTTGTCCTAATGTGTGCATCAAAATCACCAGGGAGACTCTGATTTTATGTCTATGGTCTGGATTTTGGGAATCAGAATTTCCTGGAGGAGGCCTAAAAACCTTTATTTCAAAGTGCACAGTTAATTTTTATCTAATTTCGCACTGAAATGCTGCACACACTATTTAAAAGGACGGCAGTAAGCAGACGTGTTAGAGCCAATGTGACACTGGACTGCAGGGGACACAGCCACCATCGCTGAGGTCCTCAGACAGCACTGGCCTAGAGACTGCATCTGGGACAAACACAGTTGAGTCTGGTGAGCAGTGCTGTATGGTCAGAACTTGTGTACAGCATGCTGTCTGGACAGCCGGGATGCTGCAAAAGGGAGCAGGACCATTCTTCAGCTGCCTAGGCAGAGTTGGTGTGGCCAACTCTGACAAAGACGTGCTACCTAACCCCGAGGATCTGAGACGTGCAGGAAAAGCTGACTCACAATAATAGGGTGGTATTCCCTTTTTGTCGTTACAACCTGGATTCAGAGAGTTGCAAAGCACATGCAGCAGCATTACCTTTGCTCTCCGGGAAGAGCAGTACTCTATCCAGTTGAGGTAAATCACACAGAAACTCTCCCGAGATATGCCTGCCAGACGATGGTCATAGTCTTCGTCGATGTTTGGGTTGAAAGTCGGGTCCACATCAACATAGTTTTGGTCAGCACACAGACGCAGCCCTTCCTGCATCGTCTCATTCGCCAGCCACTCCTCTAACTTAGAGGAGGTTGTCACATAATAGATGATCCCCTGGTTAAAAACCACAGGGAATCCAGTCAAATCACAATGCAAACTCATCCCAATTTCTTACCGCCTACAGATAATATACAAAATATTTAACACCGTGTCCTATGCCTACATTTTAAGAAAGCTACGTCAAGCCTTCCTAAATGAAAACACCATTGAGTACTTAAAAAATCATAGCCACTTTAGGAACCAAAGTTAACCTGGAAGCGCCACTTGCATAACTTCCAGGAATGCAAGGAGCTGTAGCTCTTGGGAAATAACAAACCACACACTTTCACTCCCTAAACAAGTTTGTTTGAACCAACTGCATTGGATGTGCTTGGTCGCATGTAAGCAGGAGGTACACAGGCAGGAAATATGTCAGGATGTACGCTTGCCCCTGATTGGATCTGACAGGATATGCAATGAATTGTGGGTTTTGCCTTTTAAGCCCCTGCAAAACATGACTTCTGGTCACTCCCTGAGAATCTAGAGGTAGACCTGACCAGAGTCCATCTTTGTGGCCAGTATTTAATTAAAACTTGCTTCAAATTTGGTTCAAAATTGTGGAATTGGTTTTTCTCTCAAGAATCTCAGTAAATCATAAGTTCAGTAAGGCAACTTGTAGCCTATCAATTTCAGTGCTTGAATTCAGAATATTTTTAAAGAGGTGAAACATTACTACGCCACATTTATTTTGAAAATTTTCTCATAAAAAGTTATTTAAACTTTTGTTGTTCCTAGGTCAAGTGATAGAAATAAAGTCAAACACAAACATAAAAGGAGGCACACATTCACATGCATGCATGCAGACATACACACATACACACACACATACATACACACACATACATACATACACACACACACACACACACACACACACACACACACACACACACACACAGGCACAAACACCCAAGTTAAGAAAACATAAATCAAACTCTAGCTTCTTGGGTTTAACTGAATGGAAGGCTCAAGGTTCATCAAAATCATCACAAATAATGTGGAACTTAAGTGGTTACTAGACAAAATTCAGATGGGAGAATCATGGCTTACTACACACTCCTCTCTTAAAAATACTGACTTTGCTGGGCCTCGTGAGATACCTTTAATCCCAACAGGGAGACAGAGGCAGTGGGTCTCTTAGGATTCCAGGCCAACCTGGTCTAGATAACAAGTTCCAGGGCAGCCAGGGCTCTACAGTGATACTCAGTCTCAATAAAACAAAACAACAACAATAATAAAAACAACAAAAACTGCCTTCACCTATAAAGGACTAATATTGGCCAGGGAGGGGTCTGGCTTTGCCCTCAGGCCTGATAAGTCTTTGTTCATCTAGGGCAGAGTTTCAACGTGACCTTCAGAAATCCTGGAAACTTTTGCCAACTCCATCTGACTGCAGATCTGAGTGTCTTAAGGGCTGGGCAAATGTATGCATGTGCATGAATACTCAAGAGCCCTAAACCATAAACTCATAAACTACAGATGTCAGCTATTAATGGAAGAGCAAATAGCAAGACCCTCATGGGGTGGGGGGGTGTACTATTATTTTTCCTTGGGTGTATGTATGTATATATATATATATATATATATATATATATATATATATATATATATATATATTTTTTTTTTTTTTTTTCTTTTTCGAGACAGGGTTTCTCTGTGTAGCTTTGCGCCTTTCCTGGAACTCACTTGGTAGCCCAGGCTGGCCTCAAACTCACAAAGATCCGCCTGCCTCTGCCTTCCGAGTGCTGGGATTAAAGGCGTGCGCCACCACCGCCCGGCTCCTTGGGTATATTTTAATTGAGCTCTCTGGATACTTGAAAATTCAATCGTTACTCAGAAGCAAAGCACAAGTTTGAGAGGCTAGGAAGAGGCAGGTGTGTACTTACCTAGCTCCGAGCTTGATCTTTGGTAAGCACATGCTATTAGCATAGCAAAAATGAATGGATGGATAAATGCATACATGAATGAATAAAAATGTGCACGTGTGTACGTGTGTGTGTGTGTGCGCGCGCGCGCGTGTGCCTGTGCGTTTCTGTCCACAGCAAGCCCTCAGGTGCGCAGAGGAGGTCTCAGCAGGCCCGGCCCTTACCTTGACGTAGTAAGTGGTAAGCACTCTGCGGAGGTCAAAGACTTGGAGCATGGAGGCAGCACTGTTGTCCGTGATGCTGTAGCCCTCCAGGATGTACTTCGTGACCACCACTTCCCAAGCCAGCCAGCGCTGGCCAAATGCAGCGTTAAAGGACAGCACGTGAGGAACATGGCCAGGCTCACAACAGCAGAAGCCTTCGTCTTCTTCCACGCCTTCTGTGATGGCTTCCACTTCTCGTTGCTGACAGTAGGTACCTTAAACAGAGACAAGACCGTCATAGACAAGGGCGGAAAACGAGCAACTGGGAAAATGCCTACGGAGCACCGACAAGTTAGAAAAGACGGATTTCACAGCAATTCAGAGTACAGGATTGATTCACCATAGAGCATTCACCACAGAACTGCAGCAAACTCCAGAATTCAGGTAGACTCCGTCATCTGCAGAGTGACTGCGCACCTCAGCACACTGAAGGCCTGGGATTTGTGCTATAAAGTAGTTCTTTAATTCTGATTAATGGATTTCCAAAACTTTTCAATGGGCTTATAACTGTATCAATATCAAGCAAAGTCCAAATCAGTAAATGTTCATCTCCTAAAGATGTGCACTGGTCACAAACGAACAGCAGAAGGATGCTGCCCTCAGGATGGGTCTTTCCATGGACACAGATACAGCAGAAGCACAGTTTGTTCACCTCCTGGGGACTTCTCAAGCCAATCAACTGGACAAGAGAAGCTATCCTCTGATTGGCTCTTTTTCAAAGAAAATGCTTCCTTGTTTTCCATTACAAACTAAAAACACCACAAAGGACTTCTTAGAAAGGCTAAATCTCTCCAGAAATGCCCAAGTCTGAACGTTCCTGATCAGAAATGGATTCAATAACAAAACGTGAAATCTCCATAAAACAAGCTTCATGTGACTACTCACATATACAAGCTAGTTATTTTTGCAGGATCTGATGACTCAAATTGGCATTTTTCTGAATGTATGATTTTCTGTGTCAGCACACAAAACTGCAGAGCCGGTGGGGGCAATGAGGAGTAACTTTAATGGGACTGAAGGTTCTACTGTGAAGTAATGACAGTGTGCCGGAACCAGACAGAGATGGCGGCTGCACTTTGTGAATGAACATAAAGGTCACCACTTCGGTCGCCGCTTCTCTTCTTTTAAAAGAGTTGTTTTCAGGTTATGCGATTTCATTTCAACTGAAAAACTACTGAGAGTCGGGCATAGCAGTGCATGCTTCAATCCCAGCACTGGGAGGCAGAGGCAGGTGGAGCTCTATGAATTTGAGGGCAGCCTGTGTACAGAGTGAGTTCAGGACAGCCAGGGCTACATAGTGAGACCCTGTCTTGAAAATAACAACAACAACAACAACAGACTAGTGAGGCCAACGGCAGGCTGCTTTATGAACGTGGCTCAGCTAACTATTTTCTGGTTCACAGAAACCCAGGGTCCTGTGCCCTCAGTCCTTGAGCAAACACGCGCAAGTGGTGGCAAGGGACCAGGCGAGAAAGGACGAGCGCAAGGAGGCAGCAGCCTCAGGAAAACAGGCCAATCACACACAGCGTCACCATCACTCCTCTCTGAACAAGAAGCTTGCGGGGAGGAGTACAATATCCTGTTACAATCCCAAAGATCTAGCTTCCTAACTTTCCCCCAAGGTTTATTCATTATTTTATGTGTGTGTGTGTCTCTGAGTACATGTATGTGTACCACATGTGTGCAAGTGCCTTTGGAGGCCCGAAGAGGGTGTCAGATGCCCTGGAACTGGAGTTGTGAGCCACCTGATCTGGGTGCTGGGAACTGAACCCAGGTCCTCTGATTGAGCAGCAAATGCCCTTTACAGCTAAGCCATCCTCCAGCTACCGATTCTGAACCTTTCCGTTTGGGATTTAAACATGTAACACTTAGCCATCACAGGCACGCTCGGAAAATAAAAGGTGAATGGACGTCTTACCTCTGAATTCAAGTCCCCGCAGCTGGAAAGTGACCAGGCCGTTGCCGATCTCTATGAGGTGTACTAATGCGTTGAGATAGTCAGAGGCAAGGATGAAACAGTCCCCGGTGCTGCAGTTTCCCCACCTCCCCAACAGCAAATCACCGCACAGGCTGTGCTGTAGGGATCTGGTTAGATGCTCATAGAAGATGGAATTCAGGTTGTTGTCGTCTGAGCCTGTACGAAGAGATGGTAAGAGAAGTTTATTTCACTCTAAGTACCCGCTGTACTGATGAACGAGAGCATTAAAAGTACCGGAACTAGCTGGTGCAGAATGTAGGCTGCAATCCCAGCACTGGAGAGCACAGGCAGGACTGCCAGACAATCCCAGAAGTCCAGGGCCAGCCTGGACTACAGAGGGAGACGAAACAAATGCACAACCTGAAACTAAATTCCCCTTACAGCTGTGTTTACATTTATGTGACAAGAAAAAAATACATGCCATCCCCCTACATCTGGTGTGGATGCACAATGTCCCACAAAGGCTCATGCCCAGCTGGTGACATCCGTGGGAGGTGTGGAGAGAGCAGGAGGTGGTGCTGAGTAGAAGGAAGGATGGCGGCTCTACCGGAGGCCATGCCAGCTGCCCAGATCAGTGCCTGGCCCCACTGTCGTCAGAGAGGCTCCACAGCAGCTGATGGAGATAGATGCAGAGACCACAGCCAAACACTAGGCAGAGAGCCCAAATTGGAGATCTCCATCGGGTACCTCCTCTTGGGGCTCAGGGAACTCCACAGAAGAGGAAGAGAAAGAACTGTAGGAAACAGAGGGGGCCAAGGACACCAGGAAAACATGGCCCACAGAATCGACTAAGCAGGGCTCATAGGGGCTGAAGCAAAAATCACGGAGCCTGCATGGGTCTGAGCTAGGTCCTCTGCATGTACCTTATGGGTTGTATAGCTTGGTGTTCTTGTGGAACTCCCAACAACGGGAGTGTGTGTGGGAGGGGTGTCTCTGACTCTTAGGCCTGCACTTGGGACCCTTTTCCTCCTCCAGCCTTGATATGAAGGTTTGTGCCTAGTCTTACTGTAACTTGTTATGCTATGTTTGGCTGATATCTTGAGGAGGTCTTCTCTTTTCTGAAGGGAAACAGAAGTGGATCTGGGGGATGAGGTGTGGGGAGTGGAGGAGTGGAGAGAAGAAACTGTGTTTAGAATGTACTAAAAACAAAAAATTGAGAAAACAAAAATAAAGAAGGAAGCATGGCATAGAGACATGCCTGTAAAAAGTGACTGGCACCTTGGCATGAGCAATTCTGCTGTCACATTTCAACACAAGCCCAATGGTGCCAGGCAACCACAGACTTAGGCTTCTGAAACTATGAACAGAACATATCCACCCTTCTTGGAAGTTGTGTATCTCAGGTATTTTATCACAGCAATGGAAACCTCAATAATATATGTAAGGTAATTCGGAACTCTTCAGAATCAAGAGTTAAAGTCAAGGGGCTGGATTTGAGCCTCAGCAGCTGACAAGCCTCTGTCAATGCCAGCTCTAGGAGGTCCCTTTTCTGGCATCGGTGCGTATACAAGTGTGCGTGCGCACACGTATGCACACTTAAAAAGAAAATAAATCTTAAAGAGTTAGAAGTCCTAACAGCCCTCTGAGGGGTTCAGTTTTGTGCAGTGCGGGGATCTGATCAGATGCACCCTAAGGACTTCTGCATTATTTATGATTCAAGGACTTCTACTGTCATTTAATGAAATATGCCTTTCCATTAAAAATATACAGGATACAGAATTCAAGAGAACAAAAGGATAACCTGGTAAAGGAAGTTGATAGGATTATGTAAGATTTTAACAACAAAAAAAACCAAGCAAAACAGAGACATGAGTCAGACCCCAAATACTGTGAAGACCCCTAGGAAGCAGAAGTAAACCTAACATGCAGATACAGCAGCAGCAGCAGCGCAGAGCTGCATGTGAGGTTACACTGAAGGGAAGCATGAGCAAAAACGCCACCAATTCATGATAACCAGCCGTGACCGTCAGAGGCATCCCGCCCACAGCGGCAACCCAGAGCTGTATGTAGTCAAAGTACTGGAGAAGGGCAAATATTCAAGGCCTGGGAATTATTTTAAACTCACACTGACTACACACTGAGACAATGAGGAGAAATGAGGGTCTAATTGCACCTAGCTATATGTCTGTCCCTTAAAAAGGTGTGTGGTTTCTTCCTTAGGATGGTGTTACCAGTATCTGAGGATTCTAATCCCACGTGAGCATGGGCTGGAGATAAGGTGGATGAGGTAGTTTCTTCCTTCATGGGACTACAAGTGAGCAGTCCCAAGTAAGGGGCTCCCTCTAGTTCAATTTTATAACTGAAAATCAATTTGATTCTTAGTTTGGTTTCTCAGATGGACAGAGCACTGGAAGAAATTTATGTGTTAAATTTATGTGGAAACCTACTGCAGTCTATTTGGGAGTAATGTTAATTAGTTTCCTGAGCTAATTAACTGACTCATTAGTCCCTCATAGTTGGAACAGCAAGGTTCCTAGGAATAGGGTGATAAAATGAGATTTTCCAAGTAAGCTAAGAACCAAACTTTGGAGAATGATACCACCACCAAAATTCCACCCCCTGAAGCATCATCTTTGGTGTTTATTAGAACATCCCCCAGGACATCTATGCTCACAATTAACTAAGTAAAATCAAATTTGTTATCTACCTAGCACTTGGGAGAAAGGGGTAAGGACATATGTTGGCATACTCAACGTTCTCATCTAGTTTTCATCTGATGTCTACTTAGCTTACATAAGGACTGTCCTTGAATGGCGAATTTAAAATAATGTCGTCATTCTTAAGAGACATTTGATCAAGGAAGAGTATATATGCTGGATATGCTCTAGGTCACATACACCACACTGTGCTAAGTGGAAAAAAAAGTGAAGGCTATCTGGTTTTTAAGAAATGATTATTTCTGCCTGTAATCCAAGCCTCCAGGAGGCTGAGGCAGGAGGATAGTGAATTACAGGCCAGTCTGTACTACACTGTAAGTTTGAAGCCAGGCTGGGCTACACAGAGACCCTGTGTCAAACAGAACTTCTTTTAGAGTTTATAGTAAGAGAGGGGTGAAGCTATGAACATGTGTGTGTGTGTGTGAGTATGTACACAAGAGCAAACACATAAAGCAAACACTGACTTGCCTCTTTACAGACAGGACTATTACCTGGATTTCTATCAAGCTGAGAAGCCAATCTGGTATTTGAATGGTCCACACGTTTTGTGCTGAAGAAAACAAAATAAAATATTTTTAATATTTTATACTTTAAAAAAATAATAAAAGCAAGAGAAAAACTATACGATACAGATAAATCTACCTTCTGGAGGAAAATCTGAGAAAAAAATTATGATTAGATAATTAACTTGGTAGCACAGACTTAGTTAAAATTTTTATTTTCTTCCTTCATATCTTAACAACACATAAACCTAACATCTTTCTCCTCATTCATGGTTCATTACAGAGTATAAAAAGGTATCTATGAATGTACTGCAAACAAAAATCGACCAGGAGAAACACAGACTGCATACCGCTCTCCCAAGTCATCACCATGGAAGTCTACCTAGAACGCCCAGAGGGTCTGTGGCACAGAAGGCCCGTCTCCCAAATGGAGTCGGCAGCCCCGAAGACCCTCGGTTTTCCAGGTCAGAACTATCCTAACACCAAACTGTGTCTGCTGTTTCTCACCATGTGACACCCGCACTGGCAGTGTAAAAGCATGGCCGTACAAGACTGTGCCTGAGCACGGACCGAGGCAGGGCCCACAGCACCCAGCCGTCACTGCTACACATGCGAAACCAGTTAGCTCATCTATCCAGGAATGTCTCGAAGGAAGCAGCAAAGCTCCAAGTCCGAATTCTCAACTCCTTGCTGCAGGCCACGCTAGTATCCCACAATCAAAGCGAGACGATGGAGGGAGCACCCCACCCACTCCGAGTGCTGCGCTGTCTGCGGGGAAGGTTTCTCGTGCAATGATCCCAACTAGACGCTGAACTGGTGGCTTTCCCCTGAAAGCCACTATTACTCCAAGATGTGAGGAGTGTGAGACAACTCCATGTGTAACTTTAAAGGCATCGATCAACACGGAGAAGGCGGGCCCACCACCTCAAAGGAACACGGCAGTAGCTCAATAACAAAATCCCAAATTCAGGCCAAAAGATAGAATTTTGGAAAACTTGTATCACAACCATGAGTGTGACAGCTTCTTAGTGCAATACACTTCACTACTCTTCTTCTGAGATCGGTGATATGGTGAAAACCTTCTTACACGGCCATGCATTGATTCTATCTGCACTTGGAGATCTATTTATTTACTCAACAACCATGTCATTTTCAAATGACCAATAAATGCTAGAAATTATGTACAAGTAAAAAAATCTCCTTCAAAGAAGACGAATAAATCAGTCTAGACAAAACACACTTCTAAACGTTCACAGATTCAGTTTAGACTCCACCCTAACGAAATGATTATTTGCTGGGGAGTGGTGGCGCACGCCTTTAATCCCAGCACTCAGGAGGCAGAGGCAGGTGGATCTCTGTGAGTTCGAGGCCAGCCTGGTCTACAGAGCGAGTTCCAGGACAGCTAGGGCTACAAAGAGAAACTCTATTTTAAAAAAACCAAACATAAAACAAACAAACCCCCAAAACAAACAAACAACAAAAAAAAACCCACACCACCATTACTTGTTGAGTTTTGATGAAAGATCAAAGAAAGACACCTACAACTGTCTTAGAATAATTCTTTCTTGGGGCTGGAGAGATGGCCCAGTGGTTAAGAGCACTGGCTGCTCTTGTAGAGAATCTGCGTTGGGTCCCTGGTACCCTCATGGTGGCTCACAACCTTAACTCCAGGTCCAGGGGATCCAATGCCCTCTTCTGAATTCCTCAGGTACCGATCAATATGCAGTGCACATGCATACACGCAGACAAAAACACTCATAACATTAAAAAAGCATTTCTCTCTTTTCAACTCTGTACCTGTGAGGACAACTTTTCTTCCTTCATTTCCAGCAAATGACACACTGCAAGAAGAGTGGGTGCGGAAGCAGGAAGTGTGGACCTAACCTGTCTTCCAGCAAGCAAGACATCAGAGGTTTGCCAAACCGGACACAATGCAATCTCATTAAAATTTAGTGGGTGGGAAACACTCTTAGCTTAAAATGATATTTATGCTAATGTGGAAAATTTTTTTTTTAAAGACAGAATCTTGCCATTTAGTCCAAGCTGGCTTCAAATTTGTAATCCTCATTCTTCAGCCTGAGTTCTGGAATAATGGACATAGTGGTCATTTTCTATTTTTAAATAAATAAACATTTGAATTTTTAAAAGGGTTTCTTTTTATTTTTTTTGCTTTTTGGTTTTGTTTTTTCGAGACAGGGTTTCTCTGTGTAATCACCCTGGCTGTCCTGGATCTCACTCTGTAGCCCAGGCTGGCCAAAAACTCACAGAGATCCGCATGGCTCTGCCTCCCAAGTGCTAGGATTAAAGGTATGCGCTACCACTGCCTGGCAAAGGGGTTTCTTTAAAAATGTTGTTGACTAAAACTTCTATTTAAATACTATGGCATTTCAAGAATGTTTAAGGGTACCAAAAATATTGCTACAAACTGTTACGAACTGCTATCACAGAGTATAACTTCTGCCTAGAAGTTGGCCTAGAAGAATAGAATACAGAAAGTAATGAAAATTCACCAAAATGGGAAACACCTCCTACAGCTTTAGATGAGGGCCAGAGCAGAAATGTCAAGCTTACAAGCTGGCTCACTGTACTAAAGCTGAGACCACAGTTTTCCTGAGTAAAAATGCCACTGTATGGCAGTCCAGAGAGACACATCATGGGATGGTGAGAACTATAACTCCAAACATGCTGTCTCTAGACCAACATGTTAATACACGCTCAAATGTTCGTGTTCCCTGGCTCAGCATGCCTCTTTCAGTAACTTTCCTTAAATAAGAGCAGATGCAGACAGGTTCTGGGCAAGGATTGTCCTCAGCATCAGATTAAACAGCCTGTCTAAAGAACAAAGTCTGCATGTGAAAAGTGTTTGAATGAAGTTATCAGAAGCTTTTCTTCCTGAAAAAGCAAAGAAATTTACAAAAGGTTACCTCTAGAAACATATTTCTAAGAAATGTCCGAGGAAAATATTCTGTGGCTCACCATACCTGTTACAATGGTGTAATCATGTAGTAAGACAAGATTTATCAACTGCCAAAACATTGGCATTATTTTAACACATGTCACAGTGATACTGTGAGGGACTAATTCCATGACCTCAGTGAAGAAAAGGCAGAAAAGTGTATAATTAGGACTATACTTTAAAGAATCACATAAACAGATGAAAAATGAAGATCAATTTCCTCAACTCTATATAATAATCTTCAAATTTTAAAAACAGTTGTAGCCAGGCAGTGGCGGCGCACGCGTTTGATCCCAGCACTCGGGAGGCAGAGGCCGGCGGATCTCTGTGGTTCGAGGCCAGCCTGGTCTACAGAGTGAGTTCCAGAATAGCCCTGTCTCGAAAAACGAAACACCAAAAGACAAAACCAACCAACCAAAAAAAAGCTGTAAATTTTTAGAAAAAACAAGTATTTTATCACAACAAATTATAATCACAGTAACTTTTCCCAGTGAGGCCGTTCTTCCCTGTCAAGAAGACGGAAGCGCTTCCGGCAGCCCTCTACTCACTTGTAGTCTCTCTCCCAGAACTTGACAGGTCTCACGTAGGAGGTGATGAAGATGGCACTGCCGAGGAAGGGGGTCAGTGGTGTGGAGAAGAAGGCCGACACCAGCGCCTGGACGAACAGCATGGCCGAGTCTACGGGAGCCGGTCAAGGAACCCACACGCCCAACAGAGCGGAGGGGGACAGCCCAGGTCTAACCTGACAGAGGTCAGAGCCAGAGTCTGGGGCCAAGTGAGATGGCTCCGCAGGTACAGGCCTCAGCGTGCATGTGGGAGGGAGAGCTCCTCTTCCCAGAAGTCTTCTGACCTCTCCATGTGTGTCTGCCTGCCTGTCTCTCTGTCTCTCTCTCACACGTACATAGATGTAAGTAAATAAATACAAGTAATGAAGTATTTTTTTTTTTAACTGCAAACACTGAAAGTCTCCATCCAGACATGGCTGGAGTCAAGAGTCTTCAGTTATTTTAAATGCTTCTGAGGCTTGAGGAGGATGGGAACTTTCACCCAGAAATTTAATCATAATTGTTATGAAAAATGTTCTATTCATTTATTCTAAGTGCATTAAAAGTTCCTAGATGATAACAATATTCATAGCTTACATTTTAAGTATAAAATTTAAAAATAGCATTTTTCTTTTTCTTTTCTTTCTTTTTTTTTTTTTTTTGTACAAATCCTTAACCTTTCCTCATCTTTGGCCGATCTGTGGGCTGCACAACCTTCCTCAGGACAGGCGGTTCTTCAGAGCCTGTGAGCCTTGCTGGCTTATCACAACCCTGGCGCGTCTGCTGTAAAGACTGGCTGCAGGCTGACACTCTCATCAAGGATATGACTAGCCACTCTCATAAACTGTAGTGAAGGATACGGGGCACCGCAAAGGGCTGAGCAAAAGCATGGAATGCAGAGCCCCACGTGATCTGCCAAGGCGCGACGTAGGTGTACACGAACTGGAGTTTGTAGAGGAGTTCCCAGAGCTGTGGGAGGAAAGGGAAAGCTGTCAGTAAATACTTCAGTCAGAAAACAAAAGGCCTAAGATGTGTCTTCTTCCTAGCAGGGAAATGGCACTCAAATTATTTTCCAATCACATAGTAAGACAAGATTTATCAACTGCCAAACATTGGCATTATTTTAATATAAACATAATTATTTTTCTAAATGTAAAGACACAGACTTATGGGTTGGTGTTTGAAGAGTTATCTGCCCTCTTCTGGGCAGTCTCGGTATTGCTACTACTGTAAGCAAAAAGACGAGCAGCAGAAGCAACGAAATTGCCGTCCTCGAGCAGAAACTCTAGGTGTCCCTAATATACGCATGCATTTTATTCCAGGACACATTACCCTTGAACTGGGGTAAACATGTTCAAAATGTAATGTCACAAGAAACCAGGGCACAGTGCCTCTAATAGAATGGCCACTGCCTATTGGACAGCCATTTTCTCTGTGCTAGGCATCTGTTTGAACCTCAACTGCTAAGGGTGGACACAGTCCACATGTAAGCTGCATTTGACTTTGGCTCTTATGAACCACAGTGACAAGCACTACTTCCTGGCTTTAATATGCTCCAAAATAACTGGTGACCGAAGAGGACTATTACTTAAAAGCCAGTAAGTCAAATGAAACAGCCGTATAGACCTCACCAAGCGGTCCCTTAGCGAGAGTCTCTGCAGACAGATGTCCTTCTGGGGATGGATTACCTTGCTGAACAGGATGGACATAAAGAAGAGGTCCAGCAGCATGGTCTCTGATAAGGCTTCATAGTCAAACTTGAAAAAGAGCACAGTAAAGATGACAGTGATGTACTGGTATGTGGGGCTGCTGAAGGAGGACCGCAGCAGCTTCAGGCCAGCGATGGTGATCATCAAAGCTCCCAACCTGTCACAGACAGACAGAGGCACAGCCCGTCAGCTGAAAATAGCCAGCATCCGGCAACCCTGAAGTTTCCACGTCCTCACTGAGCTTATGATACAGACCAAATTTAAACCTCTGGAATTGATTTATAAGAGCAAGGTGGGTATGCACATCCATAATCCCAGAACTCAGGAGATCACGAGTTCAGTGTCAACCTTTGTCTCAAGAAATAAATACATAATAGCAATGATATCCATGGATAAGCATATCACATCCTGAAAGGCACTAAAATAGCATTCTTTTTACTAATACATACTATAATCTTCATTCTCTACATAAATAAGCATGTTTAAAAATAAAAGTTATGTTCTGAAACCTAGTTCTCTAGTTTTTAATTTCTATCACTTTAACAATAGTTGCATTTAATACATGAGAAACATATACTAACATGCCATAACATGGAGCTAAACTAGTGAGTATGACTGTAGGATAACCATGTAGACAAATGACCACATATATAGTCTGATTTACACAGTACACAAAACCATCTCCCAAACTTGCCATTTAATATTAAAAAATAACTTTTAAATTTGTTGTTGTTGTTTGTTTTTCGAGACAGGGTTTCTCTGTGTAGCTTTGCGCCTTTCCTGGAACTCGCTCTATAGACCAGGCTGGCCTCGAACTCACAGAGATCCGCCTGGCTCTGCCTCCTGAGTGCTGGGATTAAAGGTGTGCGCCACCACTGCCGGCCTTTTTTAATTTTTTAAATTACATTTTTTGCATTTATTTTGCACGAGTGTGTGCATGTGTGCCCTTGCCCCAGCACGTGGGGAGGTCAGAGGACAACTCGCTGGAGCTGGTTCTCTCCTTCCACTCTGTGGGTCCCAAGGATGGAACTCAGGTCATGAAGCTGGGCAGCAGCACCTTCACCTTCTGAGGCATCCAGCTAACCCCAAACTAACTGTCCTTCGCTGTCTTCCTGTGAAGTACTGACTGACAGTATGCTGGCAAGAACAGTAAGGACAGTGACGTTCAGAAGAGAGAAGACAGACATTTCCACCCGAGCCTTCTAGTTTTCGATGCTGTTGCCAGAGACACAGTGTCTGACGGGACTTGACCCGTGATTCAAGACTGCTTTACCAAGGGGCAGGCACTGCTTATCACTGCTCCAATCTAACGAGCCAGCTCAGGACTGCTGCGTACTCACTCTGCGTCCAGTTTCTTCGGGCTAGCGATTGTCTCTGCGCTGCTGCTGAGTTCATTGAGGACAATCAGCGGATAGATGATATTCTTCTCCACAAACAGAAGCCACACGTGAAGTTTTTCAAACCACATCATAGTGGCTGCATCTGAGGAGGCAACAAGTCCAGAAGATCACAGGTCATACAAAGCTCAAAGCAGCGGGCATACGGCAAGAAGGACGAACTCATGACTCAAGTTAGCCCCACGCTATCGGCACAAAGAAACCTAAGAAACCCGGACTTCAGTGGTTAACCTCTAAGTGCTCTGAAACACTGCGCCCCCGCCCCCACAGTTTCCAACCTAGACACAACTCACACGTAAGTAAGCTGACTTTTGTAAGCTGTTCGTGTGAAGCTGTGGGTCAGGGCAAGGGAGACAATGCTCATCACAGAACTGCACCTCCAGCAACACCTCCATTTCTTGAGCTCTTAGTTTTAACTATAATTTCTCTCATTTTCTGTATTTGTATACAGAAAGAGTTACTAAAGATTCCTGGGCTGTGCCTCATCCCTAAATAAATAAGATCCTTTCAAGTATCTGGTTTTTAAATGCTAAGGTATATGCTATAGATGTACATATATGTATGATTTAAATTCACCCAGTTTATTAAAGTCATTTTCACCACCAATGACATATGAAGGTTAATTTAGCACAGTTCTCTGACTTTCTGAAAACACTACAGCAAACGGTTGGGAAGTCTTTACTTCTAACATCAATACATGTTTAAAAAAAACCAACAACTTTACTACTATAGTACTTAAATAAGTCAAAATTGTTATGGTGATTCAAAATCTGTAAAAATTTAGACTGATCACAGAAATGTACAACCAGTAAAATTACTGATTTTAAAAACAAACTAGATACAGTTGGTGCCATTATTTATAAAAGTGATAGAAATAGTTCATCATAAAAAATGAAAGCTTCTTGCTGGGCAGTGGTAGTGCACACCTTTAACCCCAGCACTTGGGAGGCAGAGCCAGGTGAATCTCTGTGAGTTCAAGGCCAGTCTGGTCTACAGAGAGAGATCCAAGACAGGAACCAAAAACTACACAGAGAAACTCCGTCTCAAAAAAAACAAACAAACAAAAAAAAGAAAGAAAGGAAGGAAGAAGGAAGAAGGAAGGAAGGAAGGAAGGAAGGAAGGAAGGAAGGAAGGAAGGAAGGAAGGAAGGAAGGAAGAAAAGAAAGAAAGAAAGAAAGAAAGAAAGAGAGAGAGAGAGAGAGAGAGAGAGAGAAAGAAAGAAAGAAAGAAAGAAAGAGAAAGAAAGAAAGAAAGAAAAAGAAAGTAAGTCTCACTCTGCACTGTTTTTTTGATGCTGAGAGCAATTCTTACAGTTTCACGTAACCTTCCCTTATTAAAAGGGCACATATTGGGCTGGAAAGATGGCTCAGTAGTTAAGAGCACTGGCTGCTCTTCCAGAGGTTGTGTTTAATTCCCAGAATCTACATGGTGGCTCAGCCATCTATAATGGGATCTGATGCCCTCTTTTGGCATGCAGATTTGCATGCAGAGTACTCATACATTGGGGGGGGGGGAGGAGGCACATATTTTCCAAAGGGTCTCCATCACACCTTGCTCCTTAGTACTTGGTTGTCTTTCCAGGGTCCAAGCAGTGAGGCCTTTATTATACAGTTTCAAAGTTCTTCAGAAATATCAACTCATCCTTAAATGACCGGGTGAGTCACCCTCTTCATTGCAGTTCACTGCAGACCCAGGAGGCAAACTGGGCTGATTTAGCACTTGTGTAGAGGCATGGCCATCACAGGGCTAATGAACAAGGAAGAGTCATCTTCCAATGGCAAGCTTGCTAAACGGACGGGCCTTCTATCTCTTTCTGGGTCATTTTATACCTTATCCCAAATCTGAACGGCAACTGCAGAGAGGTTTGTTAACTGTTCTTAAGTAGGACAGCGTCTCTAGTGGAATAAGGGACAAAGGCCTTTCTTCCTTCCAAAGCTGAAGTTAAAACCTTTCAAACAGAAGACTGGAGGGGGACTGGGTTGCCTGGATATAGATGAGGGACTGACAGAAAGAGAAGTCCCACACAAGACGCATCAGTGACAAGTCCAAGGGTTAGAGCACTAAGTCTGCTCTGAGAAGATGGTCTCGGAGCACGGCCACTGTTCTTCGAGCTGAAGACGGGACTCTACAGGACTGTGACGGTTCACCAGGAGCTTCAAATCCACCGCAAGAAACACCAGCCACAGCGTGACTCGATGGCACTAGTTTAAGTCACTGCTGGCACAGTAAAGTGAGCCACGAGACCAAGGGTGTTCCGGAAACACTTACTTCGGACTTCGTACTGGTTGTGCTCGGCTGTCTTCAGCAGAGGACGGGAGAAGCAGTGCCAGGGCAGCTGTTTCCTCACTTGAGGCAACACGTAATGGGTTACAAACCCCACACAGCCAACCAGTGCGTAGAGCACATACTTGAGAGCAGGCTGAAAGAGAAAGAGTTCAGGGTGTTAGGGGCGCCCACCAGGCTCACTGCAGAGCCCCCAGTTCCTTAGAATCTAGAAGATACAGTTTAACATTTCTGTATCTGGAGGTTTTTTCTGTCCAAATGAGCCACTGAACATTAGCTGACTGTTTTACTACACATCTGAAATATGGTAACCACTTTGGTGTCTGACACTACATTCAATGAGAGGGACTAGAACTGTTGCTTCCTGCTTCAAGAATGTTCCGAATGACTGAGCAATGGGTTCAACTGTTGGAACTAGAGGAGAAAGGGGCAGAACCTGAGTCAGTCTGAGAGAAGAGCAGAATGGAACAGAATAAGGGTCTTATCGTTTGTCTTTGCACAACTAGAATCACAGAAGGAGGAATCAACACCATTTCTTCCAATATTAAAACCAAGTCACACAGTTAGAAGCCCTGGAGCTCCCTAGACATGAAGGAGTGTCCAGTTGTACCCAGAGGGAGTTCAGGAATTCAGTTCAAACTGGAGAAGAAAAACAAGCAAACATACTCAGCAATCTAAAATAACTGACTGAGCCTTTGCCTCTGCCCGAGTGGAGTACCAGCGCCTTACCCTCCCATCCCAAAGAACCCAAACTGAACAAAACACAACCCAGTGCTTTGTATTAGGTAAGATCTACAGAAAGAAGCCTGTGCCCAGAGGAAAGGGAACCAAGGAAGGAGGCTGTGCCTACCCCACTCATGGCTCCAAGGGGAGGCACTCTCAGAACTGGGACTCCACAAGCAGAGACCATGAAGCAAAGGGAGCCGACAGAGGAGACCCTTGAGATTGCAGACAGCCCTTCAAGTATTCACGGGAATGGGAACCGTACATGTGAGGAGACTATGAGGAACCATAAGAGGGGATCGGCCAAGACAGCACACAGCACTCTCCCACAACTGCAAAGAGTGCCACCCTTACAAGCAAGCCTGGGAAATACCAAGGGTCACACGCACCAAGCAGAGGCCTAAAGGGTGCTTATCCTTAGTGGTGAGAAATACAGTCTAGCAAAAACTGGGAGCTGTCCCACCTCAGAAACTGCTTTAACAAAAAGCCAAGACCTGAGGGGATCATACTGTTAACAAGTGCTTAACAGTATCTAGGGACAATGTTCAAGTGTTCTGGAAACACAAAATGTAACACCTAACAAGGTAAAATTTGCACTGTTGGCACCCACTCAAAAATTCCCATATGGCTCTCTGAACTCATTCAAGACCTGCTCCAGAGGGGGTGTGGAGGGACCAATGTCTGCTACTGTATGCCTGGCTAACAACCACATCTGGGGAGGTGGTAGGCTCGTGCAGGGAAAGAATTACTCATGGTTAACTACACGGACAAAGCAGCAAACTGCCTTCTAAATACCTATGCTTACACCTATGGACAAAAGCAGCTCCCAGCCTTAGTCAGGAAAGCCTATCCCTACGATGAACAGTGTGAACACAGAGACTCTGCCCAAAATGCAGAAAACAAGCCAGAGATGTGGGCCCAACTCTAAACACGTAACACACAGTACTGATCGACAGCTCCGGGAAGGCTGTGGAAGGAAGAGCCTGAGAACAGGAAGGATCTGAAACACCACCCACCAGACCCGAGAGAACTGCTATGGTCCTTAACCCACTGGGGCACAATTAGTCACAGATCGAGGAGGGAGCGGCGGGGCCCTGCCCTTTACCTCTGAACTCCTGGCTATCTACAGATTCTGGGAGATTCTGCTGAGAGCTCACCACACTCTGATGGATTAGCTCTAACCCCACTGACATACAGATGGCCCTGCTCAATCTTGGCAGGTCACAAAGCAAAACAAGCAGCCATGAGTACAGAGATTTGTGAGCTAGGAGGGTGGCAGGGAGCTGGGAGGTGAGAGTGATCACAAGTGAAGTGTACACGTGTGAAACTGTGAAAAAAAATTCTGTACATACACACAATCAGGATATCACAACTCAAGAGTGTAGGGGGCAAACCAGCCGGTCAAAACCAACCAGAAGTGGTACAGATCAGAGGATAGGGATGCTCTCAAGAATAACAGCTGAACCAAGTGAGTCCCAGGAAAGGCGCAAAGCTACACAGAGAAACCCTGTCTCGAAAAATGGAAAAAAAAAAAAAAAAAAGAATAACAGCTGAATCCATGAAGTCCAGAGCACTATGCACAGCTTTATAACAAAGGCCTCAACATACTTCTCTCTCTGTCTCTCTCTCTCTCTGTCTCTCTCTCTCTCTCTCTCTCTCTCTCTCTGTCTCTCTCTCTCTCTCTCTCTCTCAGGGGGTTGGTTTCAAGACAGGGTTTCGCTGTGTATTCCTGGCTGTCCTGTAACTCTCTCTGTAGACCAGGCTGGCAAGGGACAAGGTGGCATTCAGATGGAAGACCTGCCTGTGTGGAATGCACATGAGGAGCAGAGGCGGAGGTGCTCACCCATCCCTGACCTTGCCTAGATAACAAGACTCCACCCTTCCATTGGCACTCAGTAAGGTCTGGAGGGGTTAGCAGAAAAGACACATCTCGCATACAGGAAGGATATGAATCATGAGGGCAGTCAGTCTCCAACATGGTCCCTATGGCGGGACTTCCTGGAGTCTGCAGCTCTGTATTTGCTGCCCATGCTGTACCGGGTAGTCCTTGTGAGCAAGGGATAAGAAGGGTGGGAAGCTATCTGAGAGGAGAGTCTAAGAGTGCATCTGGCTGGGGCTTTCTCTAGGATCCCTTGCTTTGTGGAAAACCAGATGTCATTTAGGGAACAGCTGGGGAGCCTCTGGAAGAACTCACGGACAGGAACTGAAGTCTGCAGCCAGCAGTTAAGTGAGGACGTGAGCACTGCACACAGCTCACCTCAGTGACTGCGGTGAGGACGTGAGCACTGCACACTGCTCACCTCAGTGACTTCAGTGAGGACGTGAGCACTGTACACAGCTCACCTCAGTGACTGCAGCGAGGACTTGAGCACTGCACACAGTTCACCTCAGTGACTGCAGTGAGGACGTATGCACTGCAGTAGCAGGAAAAGCTCCTAAGCCACTCACAAAGATTTACAGCACCGACAAAACTCGATAAAATACTTCAAAACTCATATACTCCCGAAGGTACCAGCCGCGTATGCCAGCCCTGGGTTCACAGAAGTCAGGCCCTCCTAACAGTCAGGTAGGGATGGGGAGAGGACTCATGGGTCCCCACCACTGCTGAACTGTGGTCCCCAACAGACTCTTGAAGACAGGGACACGGTATTCAGTTGTGTACCCACGAGAAGTCCACCAGGTTCTCATAATCAGTTCCAAACTCAGGCTCTGGGTCAACGACCCAGGACACTAAACAAAACCAATCATGAGAAGGGGAAAGAGATCTGGCGGAGGGCTGGCAGGGGTTGGAGGGAGGTTGGGGAGGGATGACAAGAACATAGAGTATGTGTGTATAAAAATGTAAAGGAACAAAACTTACTACTAAAAACAATCACCCCAAACAAAGCAAACAACTCAAGTGCTTCAGTGCCACAATGTCACAGCTCAGTGACGTCAGTCACCGCCTACCAACTCCAACCAGAGGACTCCTTACCTGCAACGCTGTGAACACGGTGCTCACGTGGATGGCGAAGTACAGCACACCGATGACAACACACACCACCAGGTCGGACTGCAAACGCTCACTCTGGGGACAGAGGGCACTCATTAAACAACACACACTTCTTGGTTTGTAAGACAGGGTCTCATGTAATCCAGGTGGGCTCAAGTTGTCAGCAGCCGAGAATGACCCTGAATGCCCCATTCTCCTGCTCCGCCTCCCAATGCCACCACGCTTCTCTTTACATACAATTAAAATAAACTCCCATTTTTTCCCAATTGGTAAAGCTTAAGAAATAATTTTGCACTGATACACTTCAGCATTTCTAGGTATTTCTTATGTAAAATAATCATATAGTAAATCTTCTTTTCCTTAAGTTTCTTCTATTTTAGGGTTTCCTCTGAGTTTAGTCCTGTATGTCAAGGACACAAAAGCACACCTAGTTTCTGATGCTGTGACCATACAGTCTTTTAGAGGATGTCCCCTCACTGGTCAGTGCGTTTTGCTTTTTTATTGACAAAAAAGATCAGAGCTGATCTCTTGAGGCATCAACACTGCACACACACTTTTGATTTTTCCTGAGATTGGGTTCCTTCTGTAGTCTTACAGGGCTGAGAATCCCTTATTTGAACTTAGGACCCAAATCCATTCTAGAATCCATTCAGCCTGGAGTCCTTGTGTGCACTCTGCAGTTGAGGATCCCTGAACCAAAAAATCTGAAATAAAAAATGTTCTAAAAGCCACGTTGTTTTTTGTTTTTTTTTTTTTTTTCAACAGTAGTTTCAACAGAGCATTTCAGGTTTTGAATTTTTAGAAGCATGCTCAATTCTGTAGTAAAAAAGAGAATCCTCTTGCTATTCCCTGCCATCTAGTGATGAATGGACATATAAGCTGCATTTAACATTCCACTATGCTTAATGTGAACACAGAAACTAAAATCAGAAGAAAAGTTGCTTCAATTTTATCTTGAGGTAGTTTGTTACTTCTGATTTTCTAAAGAATTTGTGAAGTCATGTTCACTGAAAATAAATATTATGTCCAATGAATACCTAGGTAAGTTCATCATTCAGACATAAATAATCTAAAATGAGGGGACTGGGGACATAGTTTTAATAGCAGAGTGTCTGCTTTGCAAGCAGTAAGACTCTGGGTTCAATCTCCAGCACAACAAAAGAAAAACAACCTAAGATAAAACAGAAAAAAGGTGTGTGTTGCCCTACAAAACAGATATGAACCTCTAGAATCCACTTTCCAAGAGAATAAAGTGACATGATGAGTCAGTAACAACTGAGAAGAAATACTCTAAGCAGATGTTAGTAGACTGTTCTTTTCTTTGACCTGGAAATCCTGTCTTTAAAATTGTCTATGTATTTATGTGTATGGGGCTTTGCCTATATGCATGTCTGTCTACAACATGTGCACAGCGCTTGCAGAAACCAGGTGTTGGATCTCCTGGAACTGGAGTTAGAGGCAGTTAGTGGCAGGCTGCCATGGGGTGGTGAGAACTGAACCCAGGACCTCAGCAGAGCAACAAGTGCTCTCAACTGCCAAGTCACCTCCCCAGCCCCAAACACACTTTTCATGTTGCCCTTGAGAAGTGAAGCACACCATGGGTTATGTTGTCTAATCAACAGGGATAATAACAAAATCTAACTTAGGTTAAACAGTTGAAACAGTAGTCTGCCCTTACCCATAGCTTGTAAGTTCCATGATCCTCACAGACACCTAAAACTACAGCTGGGACTTCATCCTACAGCTATACCCATAACCAAGGTGCCTATTAAGTAACTGGCTGGTGGTGGTGCGCATGGCAGAGACTTTGGACGAGAGTACGTGCCACATCTGGGGGGAACACTGCAACATTTCATCCTGCTACTCAGTGGTGTACAAATCAAAACTTACACATTCTTTATTCTATGGCTGAAACCAGGGAAAGTGAAATGCGGAGAGAGAGTGACTACTGCTGTAGTCAACTCTCAGTTCTTTGTCCCTGAGGAGGGCGGACATTTCTATGATTAATGAAATGATGTAATTTCGCTCGACATGAAACCTGCTGACATACTCTTCTATACTGAGACCAAGTGTGAGGACAGGACCTTTCCTATGCAGGCTAACTATCTCCTATCCAAAATGGGTAGGACTAGAAGTATGAGAGACTGTGGATGTTTGCAGATTTGGGAATATTTCCATATATAACATGACATACTTTGGGGAGATGAGCCACACATAAAAAATAAATAAAGTTAATTTTTTCCTGTGTGCCTAACAGTCAGAAGCTAATAGTAAATAGCATGGGAAGTGAGCCTGTGATTGATCAGATCAGGTCAAATGTATAGTTTTCCTCTGTGCGATAACGTCAGCGCTCCAACAGTCTTAGATTTTGGTCTAAACTCTTCTGGACTTTTGGATGGAGGATGCCAAAGTAGTATGTTAAAATCTGGACTGGACACAATGAATAATATTTAACACCACTGCATTTGCTCCAACTACTAAGGCCTTTCAAAAGTATTCACCATATATCGCAATCATCGCCACACGTGTTGTCGCGGTTTAAAAAGGTACACTTACAACAGAATTGCTAAGCTTTTCCGGCAGTGGGTCTTTCACTTCAGACAGGGGGTCTTCTGGGTTTTTCTCTTCAGTTTTTGGAAAAATCTTGGATTGCATCAGAGAGCTTTGTTTGAAAAAAAAACAAGAGAAAGTATTTAATAGAAAATATGTATGAAGTCTGAAACTGAGCAAGTTAATCAGCAAAGTTGTTTGTGATATAAAATCAAATAGTCCAATTACATTTAATCACTGAGACACATAAACTCTAAAAAGTTGATTTTGGCAAAAATAAGCATACAGTGAAAATACTGTCATTAAAACTTGGGAAGAAAAACAAAACAAAACAAAAAACCACCACCATGACACTAGAGAGACGGCTCAACAGTTAAGAGCACATCCTGCTCTTGTGGAAGACCAGAACTCAATTTCCAGCACCCACATCAGGTGGTTGGACAGGTGGCTTCCAACCACCTGTAATTCCAGCTCTAGCAGATCTGATGTTTCTGGCATCCATGGGTACATGTACACACACACACACACACACACACACACACACACACACACACACACACACACGCACGCAAGCACGCACACACACCCACACATCAGTACCACTTGATAGGCACTAGGAAAGGAGCTGTAGGGACTATAGAAATGCCAGTATGCTTTTAAATGTTCAACAATGGCTGATGTCACTTACAAGAGGACAGATGGATCACTGCTTTGTCGGCTGAGATGATAGGACACGGCCACTAACAAACCACAAAAAACGGAGAAAAGCACTGGAATGTGCTGGCCATCCCATGAATCCTGAGGGAAAAAATTCAGAGAAAAAGATGCTTGTAACTTATGACCTAGCATATAATCCTCTTACATCAACATTTTAGAAACAAAAAATTTAAAGTTTAAAATGTTTTAGTTTTATTAGTAACTGTACTTTATTCCAAATGAAATAAAACTTTTTTTTTTTTTTTCATTTGATAAAGGGTCTCATGTAGCTCAGGCTGGCCTCACATTTGCTATGTAGTTGTAAATAGCTTTGAACTTCTAACTCTGCCTGCCTCTCAAGCATACCACCCCACATTAGTTATTGTTTTCTGGATACCTGGAATCTAGACACTAGATTTCTTTCTTCTTAAGAAAGGTTCAGCTCTTCTCTCTCTCTCTCTCTCTCTCTCTCTCTCTCTCTCTCTCTCTCTCTCTCAGTATTAAAGTTTTATTTATATTAGGAATAATTTCTCATATCTGTTGCTATCACCTCTCACATTTTAAGTAGTGCTCATTTTATAGTTGGTTTATTTTTCCCTTTACCTTTAAATGTAAATGAACCCTCAGATCTTTTTAAAAACAAAACTAGAACACAGCCCGTATCATATCCACATGCTTAATAGCTAAATTCTAGAAAGTACAAAGTACACTTCCTAATCCCTTTCAAACTTTAACTTATTTCAGTTTTCTTCCTCAAAAGGCCAAAGAAACTACTGTTGTTAAGTCACTGATAGTCTATCAGGTACCAAATCCCATAAAAACCTTTCAGGTGCTTACGCCTCTCTGTCTGTTCCCTGTGGGTCTGTCTCTATTTATCTAACATTTAAACCCTATCATCTCTCAGGGTTCAAATCCACTTTCCTCTCGCCAGTCCACAGCAGTCTTCAATGACTCATTCTGTTGATGACTTTTCTATCTACCAAGCATGAACATAATCTCTTTCTACATGACTACTACTACTGTGTGCCTCCAGACCTCATAGATATGAACAATCAAGTGCTCACATTAAAGCCCCTTGTCCTTAAACTCCAGCATTTCCACTATCATCTAGTGGGTGCCACTATATAGTCACCGGTTCAAGCTAGACCCTGTTTCTAGCCCTCTTTCTTTTCCCATACAGTCCCCAAATGTACTGCTGGGATCTAGCCTGCGTGAAGTACACAGCCTTTGAGGATGGGCCCAGAAGCTCGGATGGTTTTTAGCCTTCATTCCTCTGGACTCCACACGCTGGCTGACCTACAAGCTCCTCACGGACAGGAAATGGCTCTTAGCACTGTTCTTATACAGTAGGCACTCCATAAAAGATAGACAAAATGAAGCAGGAAGGGAGTCACTTCTCACAGACCTTTGAACCTTATTATTTTCTCATTATCTTGCTTTAATTAAAAATAAACACCAAAACAGACAAGAATCCAGAACTATGTGCGGGGTTATAAACCACTGTTAGAATTGCCGAAGGGGGCTCATGGGCTCGATGCCACCTCCACAAATCACAGCAACAGCGGGCTTCAGTGCCATCTACTGGCATGCCCGTCAACGGCACCCTGGGCTCCTTTTGTTCTGTTGTTCTGTTCTGTCTGGCTGTGCTGGGGGCTAAGCACTGGGCCTGGAGCACACTAGGCAAACACTCTCCCACTGAGCTGCACCCCAACCAAAACATGTTCTTGTAAACGTGAATCAATCCTGAGGAGAGGGAGTAGCTACATATTTTCTTAACCAGAAATAAACATCTAATTGCAAATTCTGCAATACCATGCTTGCCTCTCTTCCAGGTGAGTCCGGTTTTAATACACTTTTAAGTAGTAACCTAGGATCATTGTATGGAAAATAATTTTCCTCTAATAATGACTGATTATCAAATTGCTTTAAAATTCAAAGTAAAACAGAGTAGGAGTACAGATCAGCATTAGAAGGCGGACGGGAAGTTCGTGATAAAGTATCTCAAGCAGGGCAGGATGGAATCAGCCGTCAGTTCTAAGCATTCAAGTGGAGACGTGATGCAGACACAGAGCACACTAGTCTGTCGTTTACCTTTAGAGCTCCATAGCACAGCCCATACAGCAAGGCCACGGCCACGATGCTGCAGAGGAAACTGTACAGCGCTGCAAGCAGGCTGGTGGTGGCTAGACAGGGGAGAGGAGAAGTCAGGATTTCAGAAACACCCACAGTAGAAACCTCAAATGCACAAAAAAGCGTATCAAGTAGCACAATACTGTCTCCTCGTGGGACTTTTAACCATCCAGCTACTTCCTCTTTTTCATTAGCTCTGACATAACGAAGACTTCCGTCTCCACTATTTTGTTGAGACAGTCTCACTCTCAGTTCAGCATGGCTTACCACTCTCAGCAATTCTCCTGCCTCACCCTCCAAAGTGCTCAAATCACAAGGATCATGTCTTACTTGCTATCTTCAATCTATGATAAAATATATTACCTCAGAATCTCAGAAGAAACATTTTTACCTCTAATAGGCTTCAGAATGTATCTTGGGGGCTGGCGAGTTGGCTCAGTTTTAAGAATATGTGTTGCTCATGCACAATTTGGTTCCTAGCACCCACATCAGACAGTCAAAACCACCTGTAACTCCAGCTCCAGGGGATCTGATGCCTCTGGCCTCTACAGGCACCCACATTACCGCTAATTAAAAATAAAATAACACTTTTTGAAAAAAATGTATCTTACAATAATAAGATGTATTAGAAAACAAAGCTTGCAAAGGCCTGAAATAAACTGGAAGTATTAATTAACCAATGAAAATATCTTTCCATGTAAAAAGGACTTGCTTTACCCACAGCATTAAATCTGTATTTCCATTTGCTGATCAATTCACACAAAAATATGTAAATCTGACTACGAAAAATGTCAACAACAAGTAACTGACCTAATAGATTAGTAGGAATAAGAAGCAGGCATAGTTAAGAGTTACTTGTTATTAAAAATATAACTGAGAGTTCCTTAGTGGGGTTTTACATAGTGATCTAATGGAAATCCACAGGGGATATTTATTTCTTATTAAAAACCTAACACTTTGCACATTGTAACTTAAATGACAAAGTCCAATCACTCTCTAAGTCACCTACACAGAGCCCTCTCCCTGTGCTTCAGCATCAAACCAACAGTAGGTCCCTAAATACTGACACCGCCTTCTACCCACTAAGCTGAACTGATGACGACATCAGCTGTTTGAAATCACACACATTCAAACATGAGAAAACACACTAGTATAATACACAGAAGTTTTATCTTTAGGTACAATGTCAGCCAGGTCAGCTGGAGAGATGGCTCAGTGAGTAAAAGCACTTGCTGGGCAAGCCTGAGGACCTGAGTTCCAATCCCCAACACCCATATAAAGAGCTGGGCATGTCTGCACGTGCCCATAATTCTAGCACTGTGGAGCACAGACAGACGGAATCCACATCCTGAGAGCTCCTTGGCCAGTCAACCTAGCTCAAAGTGTGAGCTTCTGGTTCAGAGAGAGGCCTTGATCAAGGCAGCAGGTAGAGAGGGAGACACTCAACCTCCTCCTCTGGCCTCAGCACGTAATCACGCACACAGGTGCATGCACCTGCATTCAGATGAACACACCACACACTCCATCCTCTGCACATCAAATTGAAAATTAAGCCATGACTTCAGTGAATGTTTGTAGAAGGCCAATGAGGATCACAAATGTGAAGTGTAAAGAAAATGAACTATAAATATAAGGTTAATGGCATTCCTTTTGAATATTTCCTCTGTTTACATGCTCTTCTTTCCACAAAGCATGAAGAACATGCTATCTCAACTACAGCGGCTGCCACCATAGCTGCTGTCGAGTTCTGCAGGTCACTCACTATCTTCCAGATAACAGTGGATTTTTGTTTTTAAAAGATTTATTTATTTATTTATTTAGTGTATGTGAGTATTCTACACCTTTATGCCAGAAGAGGGCATCAGATCCCACTATAGATGTTTGTAAGCCACCATGTGCTTGCTGGGAACTGAACTCAGGACCTCTGGAAGAGCAGCCGGTGCTCTTAACTGCTGAGCCATCATCTCTCCAGCCCCAGGTTTTTTTTTTTTTTTTAAGATAAAATACATGCATGGTAAGAAAATTGTTTTTCTAAGTTACCGATTAATGTATACATATTCTACTCTAAAAATAGAGATCTTGGGGGCTGGAGAGATGGCTCAGAGGTTAAGAGCACCAACTGCTCTCCCAGAGGTCCTGAGTTCAATTCCCAGCAACCACATGGTGGCTCACAGCCATCTGTAATGAGATCTGGTGCCCTCTTGTGTATACATAATAAATAAATAAATCTTTAAAAAAAAATAGAGATCTTAAAAGCTGATTTAACAAAGTGCTTTTTAGATTCTGGCCATGGCTCTGAAAGCAAATACAGGGATATACCAAATGTGCATCTCAGTATAAAATTCAGACCTCAGCCTGCTCAGCACAGATGATGTTATAAACATCTGACGGTGAGTACAGTTCTCAGGTAAAACCTCCACAGTAGCCCTTCCTTTTCTGCAGCTTTACTCTCCACAGGTCCTATTACCTGTGGGCATCTATAGTTCAAATACATTCCATAGAAAAATCCCGGAGAATGTAAGACAGAGGCCACATCCCATAACTTTTACTTGGTTGTAGCATGTGAGTGTGCAGGTGCATCATGCACCTGTGTGCACAAATGCATACTGAGGCCAGAGGAGGGTGCTGGTGTCATCCTCATGTTATAGCATGTGAGTGTGCAGGTGCATGCATCTGTGTGCACAAATGCATGCTGAGACCAGAGGAGGGTGCTGGTGTCATCCTCATGTTATAGCATGTGAGTGTGCAGGTGCATGCATCTGTGTACACAAATGCATGCTGAGACCAGAGGAGGGTGCTGGTGTCATCCTCTGCATCACTGCCTAAAGCCAGGGTTTCCCAGTGAACAAGCTCACACTTGCAGCTAGGCTGGCTGGATAAACTGCATAACTGTTCTATTTCATTATTAGTTATTGTTACTTACTTCACGATGCCTAATGTATATATTAAACTCTATCACAGGTATGCAGGTACAATACACGAAAAACAGTCCATACAGGTTCCTATTATCTGCAATGTCTACAGGCATAGCCACAGTGTGGCTTGGAACATATCACCTATGAATGGGAGTCGGGGGCATGAACTATCCTACAACTTTCTTTTTGCAAATTATTTTGTTACTTCCTACACATTGAAATCTGCTATTCCTGGACCTTTCTAAATAATAGTAGATCTGACTATTTTTCTTTACAACTAGCTGCCTTCTGCCTTCAATTATTAAATAAGTACCTTTTCTTTGCTAATCTCAATTCTAAAATGAAAAGTAGAGAAGTATTTTAATGTTCAGATTGTTATTTCACAGCCCATATCATAGCAACTGTAATTTACTCACCATTTCCACCAAAGATATGGATGTCCAATTGTTCACAAAGGTACATTACAAAAGTGTTCACCTGAGGCAGGAGACCAATGAAAAATACTATTGGGAAACAGAGTGTAAACACTATGGAAGGAAAGAGAAGGTTATTAAAAAAAACACTGCATCCATTCTCTTATTAAGTTAAAGCCCATACGCAATGAGGTCAAATTTAACATTTCCTACTGTGTGATTGTTAAAAGATATGATCTAAAATTACTGTTGCCACACAGCTGATTGGATATTAAATTCTCCCACCTATAAAAAAATACCTTTTAAAATCATCTTAAGGGGCTGGGATACAGCTCAGTGATAGAGCACTTGTCTGGTAAGTATGAGGCCCTACATTCAATTTCCAGCACATGGGGGAAAAATCATTTCAATCATTTTTTACATAACATGAGCCTAAGATGTATAATAATAATAATAATAATAATAATAATAATAATAATAATCTTTATCCTGCATCCTCTTCAAGAACAGAATTACTGTATTTATTCACATTAACCTTTTCATTCTTAGTAGCTCTATAGCCATTTCTCAGACAGGAGTAGAGTAAGCAAAATGAGCTGGTTATATCTACTTATCAGTCAACTGTTTGCAAACAAATAAACCAATGTTAAGATGAGGGATATTTTCAAGATGACTCACCTATAACCAAATCCCTGGCTGATAGAAGCACCAGTGGATTGGTGAAAGTTATTCCATATAATTTGAACTTGCTTGTAGTTAGGTTTCTACTGCCATAATCCAAGAGCCAAATAAGACCACAACATAAACAGAAGTAAACTGGCCTACTGTAGGCAATGATACGATTATGACCCTGTAAGCAATACATTTTCACTGTCAGTTTAGTTCATTCTGAAAGCCAAAACTCACTCCTAAGGTCATTATTAGCTTATGTTCTAATGGTTTGAACCATTTCCATATGAAAGGCAGTTTTCTGATGGTTGCAGAAAAATGTCGAGGGCAAATATAGAAAGGGGGAGGAATAGAATGAATCCTGTGGTACTGTCAGAAATCAGAGCTATCAATATGAACTCATCATTTTTAATAGGCATTATAAATAGATCCAAGAGAAGTATACACATACAAATGAGTGTACATGTATAAGTTACCTATCTTTACCCACTGAGAGGATCTAGACACAATAAAATTCTAGTGATAAGGTTACTAGCATCCTGATCTTAGTTTACAAGTAGTATTTACAAAGAAGAGCCAGAATTTCATAGGAAAGACAAGACAGTTGGAGCCAGTAGGAGAATATAAGTCCACCCTGATCACAATCACTGCTATTTTGGAAAGGAAAAAGTCATTAAAGGATCACAGGGCTATGCCAAAGGACATAGAACAGTCTGATAGGCTTCAAATGGCCAAGTGAAGGACAACCTGGGTACCAAAGCAAGCACTGTAACATTACAGTCCACTGTAATACACCCACCAGTCCACACAAACACACACACACACACACACACACACACACACACACACACACACACACACACACACACACACACGTAGACACAGAGACAGAGAAAAGGCTCCAGTACAGTTCAGTGGTAGTGCAATGATTGTCTCAGAGCACAAGGTCCTGGGTTCATTATCAACACCACAAATAATCAGTTAAGACAGAAGACAAAACTATCCCTTTTAGTAAGAAATAAACTAACATAGAATAATGGAATTAGAAAATCAATATCTAGCTACTATCAAACAAAATCTGAGTTGAATAAGAAACCAGTAGACATGAAACAAGTTGGAAGAAGTCATGGAACACTAAGATATGCATACAGACTCAAAGGACTTCCCAATAACAGATTTAGAAGGACACGAGTAACAGTGACGACAGTATAGCAGAGTAGAGGCTCGGGACAGAGAGGGTGTTTGCTTCCTAGAGGACATTTGACAGTTGTAGACACGGTCTTACAGGCAGCAGTGACACTAGCATCTACTTGGGAGAAGCTGGAGAGGTTCCTACAATGTACATGACATCTCTGGCCTCCATGAAAGCTTTGTCCAGCCCAAACATTAACACTCCAGATCTGAAGAAAACTCAAGCTATAGCCTCATCTCAAAGATCGAAGTTCACACCACCAGCAGGAGGGTAAATCAGTGCCATAGCATCCTTGCATGATGGATGCACTGAGGCTATCCCACCCACCAAATGCACTAACTTCTAATAAAAAAGAAACATCAAACACAAATCAGAGGTTAGTCTACGATATAACTGGCCTCCGTCCATAGACAATTTCAATATCATGACTCTAAGCAACCACTCCAGGTTATAAGAAAGTTAAGAGACCAGATCAGGAACTCTACTGCCAGCTAAGACAACAGATCAAACCTGAGAAATACCTACAGACCGGACGACAGCATTGTATTAGGGCTGATGTCCTAACTTTGACAATCATGTGAATGAATGTACAAAATACTCTGAGAAACACACCAAAGGTAAAGAGACATCATGTTTGCAAAGAAGGGAAGAAAGGAAAGGGGCGGAGAGAACAGAGAAAGGAAGGGGCTGAGATGCACATGAGAATTTAACCCAGGAATCTGAGGGACGGAAATCAGCTTTGCTCTATTCCCCGTGACACTGTTCTGCAAGCCAGCAATGGCATCAGAATTCAGATACACAGCAATGCATCCACATACCATTACACATGACAAACGTGTGTCATTACACATGACAAACAGTGTAATTCCGACAGGTCACAAACACCATCAGTTGAAAGAAAACCATTTCCCTGCTTGATTTACCTTCTGTTCTGGTTGCATTAACTACTTCAATATAAAGATGAAATCATTATATTCAGAAATGAGAGCTCTACTAAACACTATTCTTGGAGCTTTTTTTTAGAAACTAGTTTATTTATTCATTCATTCACCATTTTTAAATTTTTTAAATATAGGATTTCACTCTTGGGCCCACACCGGCCTGGAATTTATGTAGCTCTGGTCACTGTGAGCTCCCTATAATCTTCCTTCTTCAGCCTGCTAAGTTCTGGGATAAAAGCTGTGAGCCCCAAACCCAGCTTTGCACTACTGTATAGGGGACATCCTTTGGTCCTTCTACTACACAAATGGCTTGGTAGCTCCAGAACCAGATTAACAGACACATGGTAATCAGCAAGGATTTATTTCATCTATTACTTAGCACCAAAGTCTCAAGTAGCAGTTGAATGCAGTACATCTTTTTTTTTTTTTCTTGCTCTTAATTGGTCATAACAGTTAAGCTTTTCCTACTTGAAAATTCTATTTTTAATACTTATTCACTATTTATTTTCAAATTTTAAGAAGTGCAAACAACCAAGCTTATATGGATTACGTCTGCCTAAGTGACACTCTCTTGAGGCAGGCTGTCAGAAAATGAATTATTATGCTCATTTCAAACAGGATTCAGTCAGTCAGTACAGTTTCATTTCCTTTCATGCTCATAAATCAACTCTACAGTGTGTCCAAATGTGGATGAAACAACAGAGACAGACGTAACTCAACCTGGTACACACACGAGAAACTCCAGGCTGTGGTTAGGGGCCAGAGAGCTGTAACTTACAGTCCTTCCAGGAGACTTACATGTCTGGGAGAAGAAGAATCTGGTTGGACACTCTAGAAATGAAGCAGAAAGATACATTATTTTACTCAAGTCTCAGAATTTTACAAGCAACTTAAAACAAACGAACAAAAAACCAACAGTGTATTTTCATTGTTTAGTTAAGTCACAAAATGCTGGGCTTCATTATGAGACTTTCATGTGTACATATGAGCATGATTTAGTAATATTCACCCCTTCTTCCCACCCTCTCCCCTCCTCACCTGTACCTTTCCCCCCCATGGTACTGTGCTTTCTGCTTTCATGTCTAATAAATACACAGCTCGTGTGTGTGTGTGTGTGTGTGTGTGTGTGTGTGTGTGTGTGTTGGGTACCTAACTATGTATGTGTATGTATCCAATTATATGTGTGTATACAACTCTCTGTATGTGTGTATCTGACTATATGTGTTTAAACCTGCATTCTGCATATGAAAGAGAGAAAACCTGTAATATTTGTCTGAGTGTGCTTTATTTTACTTAACATGATCATCTCCAGTTCCACACATTTTAATGAAAATGATTTATTTTATTTTATTTTATTATTTTGAGACAGGTCTCTCTACACACCCCTGGCTGTCCTGGAACTCACTATGTAGATCAAGCTGGCCTCAAATTCAAAGAGATCTGCTTGCCTTCACCATCAACTCATTCGTTATGGATGAGTAAAAATTTGTGTGTGTGTGTGTGTGTGTGTGTGTGTGTGTGTGTGTGTGTGTGTGTGAATCTCTATCTCATTGTTTAAACTACTTCTTTTATTTTTGAAATTATACATTTCTCCCTTCCCTTTCCTCCCTCCAACTCATCCTACATACCATACCCCTCTTTCGTATTCTTGGTCTTTTAAAAGCTTTATTACATTCCCGTAGGTATATACACATATATTCCTAACTTGTTTGCATGTTTTCAGGGCTGACCACTGGGTACTGGATAACCAATTAAGGGGTGCTTCCCTGAGGAAGACTGTGTCTCCCACTCTTAGTGCTCCTTAGTTGCCTGTAGTTCTTTCTGTCACAAGCAACTTTGTGCAGCCTGGTCTGTTTAAGGGGCCCCGGCAGCAGGGTAAGGATCCATTCCTGGTGCGTGAGCTGACTTTTCGGAGCCCATTCCCTATGGGGGTACACCTTGCACAGCCTTGATGCAGGGGGAGGAGGAGCTTGGAGCTGCCTCAGCTGAATGTACCAGGCTTTGCTGACTCCCCATGGAAAGACCTTAGCTTTTCAGAGGAGGGAATGGAGGGTGGGTTGGGAGGAAAGGCTGGGGAGGGCGGGAGGAGGGAAGAGAGGGGATCTGTGGTTGGTATATGAAATGAATAAAAAAACTTCTTAATAAGGAAAAATGCTCTTAAGTGATTTTAGGAGATGTCACGCAACCAAGAAATCATGACATTAATTCCAAACACGAAGCACCAGCTACAGGAACTGGCTCACCACGATAGTAAACATGGTGCACACTGCCCCTCAGTTTTACTTATTTTGGTCAATTAGTAACTTCCAACCCCCCGGTGAATGTTTTGAGATAGTGTACAGTAGACAGCAAGTCCATCTTCGGCTTGGCTCTTTACTATGTGTAAGCGTAGTTGGCATATCCTGCGGCCACTACTGCACTCACGAGATACACAGGAACCTGGGTTAGCATTAAGGTCTAGTTCCACTCACAGATTCTAAGTTCACTGAATAGTGGTAACTCGATTTATTATGTGTGTTTGCACAGCAAAATAACCAAGGGCAATCCTGTTGTGCCCTGTGAAAATGTCCTCAGTCAGAACACCCCCAATCCCTGTTCATTTCCAGTGGCATGCGACACACCTTCCCCAGGACAGTCCACCACCACCTGCAAAGCCACACCGCACCAAGCACGCCGAGTCTGGCATCTGGCCCTTCTCTGGATGCCACCCCGCATGATGTCAGTTCTTTCCACCTCAGCTCCTTCTGAAACTCTGACTCCCCCTCCCTTTTCTGTTCATGACATGACTACTGTTCTAGTTAGCTAGTTCAACAACAACCTGCAGCCTCTCCTTGTTTATCTACACTAACCTGAAAATAGTGGACAAAATTAACGAACAAGGACACTGGAGGAGAGGGTGAGTTTTCACGGGTTAAGGCAACAAAGGGACAACTAACTAAGTGGCTGAGGAAAAGGCAAGACTAAGGAACAGCAACTTTAACATGCACACCAAAATTAACCAAAGGGACTTGGCTGCTTGTTATTGAGGGAGGAAGACAAGCACCCGAAACGCCTATCACAGCAAAAGCAGAGAAACCATTAAAGCAAACCATGAAGCAGGTGACAACATGCTATTTCCAAACGTGTCTGTCAGTCAGATACACAGGACTAAAGCCTGCGAGAGACGCAAAGTCCTCACATCTGACTCTGGACAGAGCGTGTATATGCCGTGTATATGCAGGGCTGACCAGAGTCCTCACAGCTGACTCTGGACAGCGTGTATATGCAGGGCTGACTAAGGCGGTAAGACTTGCTTCACTGGCAGTTATACAAACCAAGAATAGGGCACACAAGGCCTATGAATTCTCACAACGCCAGCAGCACACATAGAACAAAGAAGCAACAATACATGAGAGTCATCTGAGGATCAAGAGCCACCCAGGCTGTGCAAGGTCACCGAGCAGCGGAGAGGAGGACATGGAAATGGAGACAGTATTTACAGATGCTAAATGACAGACAGAGCAGAGCATGACCTAGATGGTTTTCTTCAGATGTGAGCGGGGAGCACCACGGAACTGAAGCAGGTGCACCAGCCTTGGAGGGCTCTGCACACCAGCACGTCTAAGGGAAACAAGCTCTCAGAGTCAGACATGCCGATTCAAAGGAAGGAAGCACTCTGTTTACAGCCGGCCCTGGCTTTAGGCAGAAGGCAAGGCTTTGGTCAGACACCAGGTGATGTGCTGGATTCTCCCATTTCTTAAATGCTTACAATGGCAACACAGATGCTTCTGAGCCACTACTCGGTCAGTAACAAGGGGACGTCAATATTTTCTGTTTGAGGTCCACTAAGAGTAAAACCTATTTCTAGTTTTTGACATTGTGTTATCTACCAATGACAATTTTCATAAATCTCACCCACGGAACAGAAGCCTCAAAGGTGGGAAAAGAAAGGTTAGTGCTGCTAAGTTAAATAGAAAGAAACCTCAAAGATGCAATTTTTAGTAAATTCAATTTACATGCAATTATTTTTTTAAGTTTACACCCTGCTTTGGTAGCTACATAATCCAATGTAAACTTCCACGAAAAATAAACGTAAAAGTTCTAATTCTGTGGTGAGGTGGCGAATGGCCTTTAAATACAGCACGAAAGGCAGAGACACTGGTACCTTGAGCAGCGAGTACTGGCAGCTAGCTATCACCAGGCAGAACTGGAACACCCAGATGTCTCTGAAGAAGCCTTGGATGAGAAGAATGGATCCCAAAAAAGCCACGAGAATAGCCAGGACAACAGCTAATATATTCTCCAGGATCTCACGGTTTCTGTAGATGGAAAAATGAACACAGAGGTCTATCATGAGTGTGAGAAAATAATCAGACTGAAAAAGAGGAAAATGTCACCGAGGGGCCTGCTGGGGAGTATTCTGGATGCCTGCTTTGAAGAACATTTCAGGTCACACAGAAAAAGAAACTACCTGTCTGTGGGCATGACAGAGCTGTCCTATGACATCACGGCAGGGGAGTGCCCCCTAACACAGCTGTCCTATGACGTCACGGCAGGGGACTGCCCTCTAACACAGCTGTCCTATGATGTCACGGCAGGGGACTGTCCTCTAACGCAGCTGTCCTATGATGTCATAGCAGGGAAGTGCCCTCTAACGTAGCTGTCCTATGACATCACAGCAGGGGGCTGCCCTCTAACACAGCTGTCCTATGACATCACAAATTCTTCCAATATCTTCTCTGTGTAAACGCTGTAAAATAACTAACCAATTTGGATGGCAAATAAAGCTGACACAGGAGGAGTTAAAAAGCAAAATCTCAAAGTTTCTAGAAAATTTGAAATGTGTCATTTCATAAGATAAAGCTTGCAACCAAATTCTGGTAACCACTGGGTATTTCCCCATCTGCCATCCTCATATGAAATAATCCAAAACTCACTCACTAGCACAATTTAAACACAGGCTCTTCTGTATATTAAGAACGAAGCACAGCTAAGACCACCAATCCTGCCCCATCAAAGCTGCTGAGGTAGTTCTATACCCAGCAACTCACACTGGACAGGAGGCAACACAATGTCCAAGACACCACATGTAGAAGTGGTGAAGGTTTTTATGCTGCACCAAAAAGCTAAGAATCTATCCAATTTCTTGGGAAGTTTTATTCATAAATTTTGAAGAAACACTTGCTAAATACATTGCATTTACAGACTACTAACTGACATATGCATAACATGTCTACTATATGAACCAAACATGACAAAAAATGTCTTGTTACTAAAAACAAAGACTGAAAAACACCTTATATCAAATTATTATTCATAATGGCTGTGTGGAGGAATTATGGTATGCAACTCTATTTTCAAAACTTTCTACATACTTAAATCTTCAATGGGTAAAGAATTTATAATCACAAAATGTTTAAAGTTCACTTTTATTAACTCAATACTACATTTATAGTCACTAGCCATCCCTCATTCAAGACTTCAAAGCGTTTTCTTTTTTTTTGGTTTTTCGAGACAGGGTTTCTCTGTGTAGCTTTGCGCCTTTCCTGGAGCTCACTTGGTAGCCCAGGCTGGCCTCGAACTCACAGAGATCCGCCTGGCTCTGCCTCCCGAGTGCTGGGATTAAAGGCGTGCGCCACCACCGCCCGGCTCAAAGCGTTTTCAAATCAAGAATTATTGGTATTTTCATTCTAGTATAGCTGGTAGACACGTGACCAACCACCAACTCCTTTCCCAGCCTCACACGCTGCTCACCATCTCCCTTATAACATGAACACATGTCACCGTTGGCTTTGTACAATTTTCTATGTTGTTATGATTATATGATTATATGATTGATAATGAATCCAATTATCCATCAGTTCTTTTATTGATTTTGCTTTTCCTGCCAAGGCTAGTAAGTTTTCTATAACTTGGAGGTAAATTATCTTATTTCACATATTTTACTGTTTTATGTTCCACATTTATGCCTATGATCAATTCTGATTTAGTTTTTGTGATGTGGTACATGGTATGGATTCAAATTTGGCTTTTTGCATATGGAAATATGCTATTTACTGCCAAGTCCCCACTTCACTGATTTGCATAGTATTTCAATAACACCTGGGCCTGGAGCTTGCTCTGCAGGAGGCTTCCTAATGGTAACTCCCACTTACTGAGATAGATCTATGATAGTTACATCTTTTAAGGAATTTGTCCTTTTCGTTTGTCTACAGTCAGCTTACTGACCCAAAGCTGCTGATCATGTTCCTTCCTGCTCTCTGATCCCGTGGGATCTGTAGTGACATCCCACCTCACAGTTCCCATCTGGTCACCGTGCCTCCTCATCAGGCAGCTAAAGGTTCATAAGTTTCACTCCTGCTCCCAAAGACACAGGTTTGGGTTTCCTTGGTCTGTGTTCTTACTATGTTTTTGCATGTCCTCAGTTGGGCTAAGTGCTTATGTATCTAGTTCCTGGTGTAGATGTGAATCACAGAACTGAGGTCTTCTGGTTCTAACCTACCTACTCAATGCTATAAACTCCCCTAAGCACTACAGGAGCCATTTCACGTACTTTAAAATACTTCGTAGTTGTCTCCTCAAACTCTTCTCTACCCATGGATTACTTACTACTAACTTCCAAATCTATCAGGATCTTCCAAGGCTCAATGATTTAATTCTGTTGCCAAAGACCACACTCCATGTGATCTAATTGTTTTCACTGACCCTTACGGATCAGACTATGGTCAGTCTACATAACATCCCATGAGCACTTAACCAGTATGTAATCTCATTACAGGTGGCTGCTCCGTGAGGGCCAATCAACTGTTCAAGTCAACTATCTCTGCAATAGTTGGGTTTCCAGTGTCCCCAAAGGACCATGTGTTGAAGGCTTGCTCCCCAGCCAATGCAGCTATTGGGAGGCTGTGGCACCTGGAGGCTTCGAGGCCCTTGTTGAAGGAAGTCGAGTCAGGGGTGTGCCTCTGAGGGGCCGCTGGAAGCCCTGTCCTTTCCTGTCTCTCTGCTTCCAGCAGTGGAGTGACAAGCAGCTTCCGCTAGGAAGCTTTCACTGCTGTCCTGCCCATCACAGCAGCCCCCCAGCCCCCACCCCTGTCCCCGTGCAAACAGTCAGGGGACATGGACTGAAACTGTGAACACTGTGAGTCACAACAAACCTGCCTCCTTCCTAAGCTAGCCCAGACATTGTGTCAGCGCAGAAAGCCGACTGACTGCAACGGGGTGCACAAGTCACCGTAAGTATAGACTCATCTGGGTGCTGCTGATAAAACCCAGGTCTTTCTGTGTGCTAAGCACTGCTGTGTCACCAAGACACATCATCAGCTCCTAGGAAGTTTGAAGCTCGGTTTTAGGTACAGAAACATTTAGGGTCGTTATGTTTTACAGGTTAAACTGAGCCTTTATCATTATGAAGTAACTTTCTTATCTTTGGCAATATCCCCTTGTGGTAATGTGAATGTAATTGGCTCCCATAATCTCATAGGGAGTGGCACTATTAGGAGGTGTGACTTTGTTGGAGTGAGTATGGCCTTTTTGGAGGGAGTGTGCCTCTGTGGGGGTGGTCTTTGAGATTTCCTGTGCTCAAGTTACTGCCCAGTGTCTGAGTCCACTTTCTGCTGCCTTCTGATCAAGACGCAGACACAGCCAGCACCATGTCTGCCTGCACATCACCATGCTCCCTGCCATGAGGATAATGAACTGAACCTCTGAACTGTAAGCCACCACCTCAATGAAATGTTTTCCTTTATAAGAGTTGCCGTGGTCATGGTGTCTCTTCACAGGAATACAAACCCTAACACACCTCTGCTCTGAAATCTGCTCTTAAGAGTGGCCAATGCTCTCAACCTCTGAGCCATCTCTCCAGCCCCTCTCCATGGGTATTGAAAGAGTATTTTACAGATATTTAAATTACTGTATGTTGACAGTTCCTTTCCTTTCCATACTGTTAGAGATGTTCCACGTCTTCTTATATGCATAACTTTCAGGCAGAGGAATGTTTTCCTCATGCTTATTCCTCTGTACAGAGTATTCTTTTGATATGTTGGTGGTTTTAAAGACTCTATTACGGGACTTGATGAGTATGTCCACTGGGTAGGTTTCTCATGCTGCCTCTCTTAGGTTGCTTTGGGCTTCCTGACTGTGCACTGGTAGTTTTCATACACTATGCAGTTTCCACCATTAGTTCTCAAGTCTGTCTCTTCTCGAAGTTGTTCCACACACACTCTCTTTGGTTTTATGCTCCTGCCACTGCTTTACTCTAGATGGTTCTCCTGAGGTGCCCACAAGTTCACTAATCTTTTTGTCAACAGGTTTAGCTACCGCCAATCCTACCTAGTATATTTTTATTTATTTATTTATTTATTTATTTTTTTGGTTTTTCGAGACAGGGTTTCTCTGTGTAGCTTTGCGCCTTTCCTGGGACTCACTTGGTAGCCCAGGCTGGCCTCAAACTCACAGAGATTCGCCTGCCTCTGCCTCCCGAGTGCTGAGATTAAAGGCGTGCGCCACCACTGCCCGGCAAAGAATTTTAATTTTTTGGTTTTTCGAGACAGGGTTTCTCTGTGTAGCTTTGTGCCTTTCCTGGAACTCACTCTGTAGCCCAGGCTGGCCTCGA